AAACTAAAATTCTGGTTATAACACAAGTTGTTGGCATGTCAGTCTGGTTGTAACTCAAGGGACCACTGTATCTACAGCTCTACAGTGACAAGGTATTCTGTAGTAAAATAAAAGTTTAAATATACTTTTAGCAAAAAAAGAACCCAGTGGTTCTAACCTGAGCACAACAACATAAGAACCATTGGGCTCCTTTTTTTTTTTGGTACTGGGGATCGAACTCGGGACCTTGTGCTTGCGAGGTAGGCGGTGGAACCACTGAGCTAAATCCCTGGCCCTGGGCTCTTTTAATGTTATGCTAAAATGTTGTTTGCTCTTGGTTTCAATATTTCTCCATAAAACTTTACAACTGTTATCTATAAAAGTTTGACTTCTAAGACAATCATGGTTAAAATTTATAGAAATATATAATATATATACACCAGTTCTCTGCTCACACTTTATATTTCAAGGTGCTTGATAACCAGATAAGATTATGATAGCTAAACCTACTGCTCTGGTGTAACTTACCTCCTGTGTGTTCAACAGTTGAGGCTTAGAGTACAAAACTAAAAAGTAACTGGGCTAAGAGGGCAGCCAATGTTTCAGCCCTGGTACCCCAAGATCAACAAGGACTTAGGACATAAAGAGCCTCTACAAGATCTTACAACTCTGGTGAGTCAGCCAATCTCCTGAGAAGGCATTGTTAGACCCTAGAGGGAGTCAACTGATGTACACTGTGCTGACCAAAGAAAAAGCATCTCCCACGCTTCTAAGGGAAACCACATGGTCAAACAAGATGGTGACTCACCCTGGCAGATGACACTGGCAAAAGAACTACGTGGTCCCAAAAGTAACCCCAAGGAGCCTTGGCTGACCTTAACGTATAACATGAGGTTAATTTTGATTAACCTGGTCTCACTTCACTTGGTCTTAAACACCCAGCAAAAACATATAACCAAGATAGATAGAAAATTAATAATAATTTTGGCTATATACAAAGTGATTCCAAGTTCTATATACCGGCTCCTGCTGACAATCTCTAACTACACCTATAGCTTGTCACTGTTGTGGTTCAATAAGGGAAAAAAGCCACAGTAAAAGCTATACAAGTTCAGCAAAAATCTTTATTTATTTATTTATTTATTTTGGTACCAGGGATCAAACTCGGGTCCTTGCACTTGCACAGCAGGAGGCGAAACCACTGAGCTAAATCCCTGGCCCAAAAATATTTTATTTTATTTTATTTTATTTTTCCCAAAAATCTTTTAATTCTTTAGCTAAAACAAAACTTCAAATACACAGGACTCTCAGTATTCTTAAAGCTAAAAAAGTTACATGCTTATAAATAAAACTTGTTGTCTTTAAATAATTCACATTAGATAAAAAGGTCTTAAAAAATCAAACTTACAAGGGCTGGTAGCTTCGGGCCACCATGCCTGCCTGGCAAGCACAAGGTTCCGAGTTCACGTCCCAGTACTGGGGGAAAAAAAAAAAATCAAACTTATAGATAATCTCCTAACTGCCAAAAAGGGAGAGGCTGTGTCTGTTCCTAAAATAAGGTGTTGCTTTTATGCCAGCAAGTCTAAAAGAGCAAGAGATACAGCATAAAATCCGGCTGCCTGGTTAACATCCGAGCCCCACTCTGGTAACTGAGGATGCTCCACAAATTTTAACTTTGGTGCCCCCCCCACACCCGCTATCCAAGGGTAACTGCTTCCAGGACTCTGGCAGATCCTAAAATCTGGAGGTGCTCAGGTCTCTTCCATCAAATGGTGCAGTGTTTATTCATAACCTGTAAGTCATCATTTGCAATACGTGAGACTGTAAATCACACAATATTGTTCAGACAAGAACAAAAGCAAGTTTGTATATATGCACCGTGCAGACAACTGCTTGTCAGGGGTTTTCAGTCTGTACTTGGTCAAACGTGAGATGTGGAACTTGTGAACGGACAGCTTGGAAGCGGCAGATGGCGACACAGATTCTCCCATGACGGGCACCCCTCCTGGCGTCCACACCCTGGGAGGCCCCGCCTGCTGCCCGCCAGCATCCCCTCTGCAAAGAAGCAGCTCGGGTGGATGCCACCCCCTACCCCACCCGGTCAGAGGTTGCTACTGCAGAGGGGGAGGAGGGAAAAGGAAGGACAAGGGGCAAAGGCCTGAGCAAACTAAGCAAAGTGAGCTACAAGAGCCAGCTGAGATAAGCCTCTTGGGAGGCCAGAGCTGCAAGAGATGAAGGGCTTTTAAAATCCGCTGGCATTGAGGCGAAGCAGCACCGAAGCAGGCACATGCATTTTTGCAAGCATTCTGCTGCTCCTGTCTGCTCTTCAGAGAGCTGTGTATAAGCTCATGCATTAGGGGACCTCTTTGGCCTCCTCTTGCCCCCCTCATCAAGTAAGGACTTTCCTTTTTGTTGTTTTTTTTGTACCAGGGATCAAACTTAGGACCTTTCACTTTTGAGGCAGGTGGCCCTTCCTTTTTGTTCTAATAAACACATATCTGCTCCTTCCCCACTACCTGCTGTATTCTGTGTCACCAAAACAAGAACCCAGAGCAGGAGAGCTGGTTACATGGGCAATTTAGAGAGACAGTGTCTCAAAATAAAATAATAAAAAGGGTTTTGAGGAAGGATCTCTCTAATCCACTAAGTTTTCCAGGCTGTGCTCAAACTTTCCATCCTCCTGTCTCAGCCTCCCCTTGTGCTGGGATTATAAGTATGCAGCATCATGCCCAACTCAGATAATATTCTAATGCAATACTTTTTGTTTGTTTGTTTGTTTGTTTGTTCATTAGAGATAGAGTATGTAGTCCAGGGTAGTTTTGTATTCATTATGTAGCCCAGGCTGGCCTCGATCGAATTCGAGGCAATCCTCCTGCCTCGGCCTCTTGAGTGCTGGGATTACAAGCATGGGGTACCATGCCTGGCTTTCTAATGCAATTTTTTTTCTTTTCATTTAAGTGACACAGGTATCCAGAAACTTTTTCTTTTTTTGGTGCGGGGAATCGAACTTGGGTCCTTGTGCTTGTGAGGCAGGTGGCGGAACCACTGAGCTAAATCCCCTGACCCCCAGTGACTTTTTTTTTTTATGAAAAAAGAAAACAAAATTTTACAACAAAATAATAAGAGAATAACAATAGTTAATACTTTAAAAAAAATCAAAAACAGCTGGGGATTTAGCTCAGTGGTTCCAGCACCTGCCTCGAAAGCGCAAGGACTGGAGTTCGATCCCCATTACCAAAAAAAAAAAAAAAGCACCCCAAAACTGCCAGGTATGGTAGTACACGCCTGTAATCCCAGGACTCAGGAGGCTAAGACAGGAGAATCTCTGTGAATTCAAGGCCAGCCTAGACTACATAGTAAGTTGGAGAAAAGGCTGAACTACATAGGGAGGGAGCGAGGGACTGGGGATTTAGCTCAGTGGGTTCGCTGCCTGGTGTGCATGCCCAAGGACTTGAGTTCGATCCCCGATACAAAAAAAAAAAAAAAAAATGAGCTACATAGGGAGATCTTGTCTCAAAAAAACAAAACAAAAAACCTCATCTCTTTTTTTTTTCCTTTGTTTTTTTTTGGTACCAGGGATCAATCTCGGGTCCTTGCACTTGTGCAGCAGGTGACGAAACCACTGAGTAAATCCCCAGCCCAACCTCATCTCTTTAAAAAAGAGTTTTTAAAATAGAGACAGGGTACAACTGAGCCCATGTATGTCCTTACCTCACCCCAGTTCCTGCCCGGTCCTGGACTTGTAATCTGCATCTGTGAAATGGATCCATCATACCTGCAGCCCCTCAGACTCTGGAGCCTCAGAAGAGGGATGGGAACTAAAGTGTGGTAAGCAGAGCCCTCCCCAAGCCTTTCCAGAGAGGGCTGCACAGTTTCTGAGCATGTGGGCGGCACGGTCTGCTTGGCTCTGGCTATGATGTCTGAACTCGTTTCCTAGTGGGGCCAGCCCTTTCCCCTCCAGACAAGACAGGCAAACAGGTTTCCTTCAAGCCCTCGGATGCCACTGCACACTTGGTGTGGTTCTCGCACTGAGATGTCTGTGGCTCAGAGCTAGGCACAGCAAGGTTCACTAGGGCATCAGGATGCAGCCCCATCCCACATCCATGGCCCAGGCAGGTGGATGCAGTGTTCGGAATAAACCCCAACAAGCCGCCTTGTCTGAGTTTAGAAAAGCCGTCTGCCCGGCCTAGAAGGTCCAGCCAGTCTGCTGCACAGAGCAGGTTTCCCCACGTCCAGTTTTCCTGCTGAGCAGAGAGATAGGCAGCTTCCTGGCCTGCACCTCCGCCTTGAGCTGCTCCCCTGCCCAGCACAAATGCTTCACCCAGCATTAGCACTGAGGCACAGCACCTCGCAGGCACAGGGCAGCGACAGATGTGGACCTGAAGACTCTGCTAGTTTGCCAACTCACTTTCTTAAAGAAAAATAAGTTGTTTTCTCTCTCTCACTCTCTTTCTCTCTCCTCTGGAGAGTGAACCTAGGGCCTTCACAATGAGCTATATCCCCAGCCTTATTTTTCTTTTTTTTTTTGACAGGATCTCACTGTGTAGCCCAGTCTGGGGTTGAACCCTTGACAATCCACCTGTTTCAGCCTCCTGAGTGCTGCGAGTATAGCTTGGCTGGAACTCAATTTTGGTCCTCCTGCCGCAGCCTCCCAGAGTGCTGGGATTACAGGCATGCACCATCACATCGGGGCCTTCATTCTTTTTTACAAATAGCAACATTATCTCCCCTCCAGCAGTGAAGTAGGAATATTCCTTTCCCCGTCACTTTCCATAGCACGAGGGATCTGAGGCCTGTGACCAGTTACTCAAACAGATGTAACTGCATGTTTGACCAGGCTGTGGACCTCACCCGTGTCTCCTGCTCCACCTGTTCTGCCGTGTATGGTCTTGAGCACCTGCCACCGAGCAGAGGAGGCTTACCCAGTGCATGTTGGGGAAACACCCCTCAGGCCCCCTGCCCTCGATTGCTATCCTGAACCACTGCTGCACATCTAAGGCCACTCTGAGATCCCACAGTACCCTCAGTTCCCTTCCCCGAGAAGGTCCTCAAGGCTTCCTCCGGTTCCACTCGGACGACCCATCTGCTGGGCGAATACTGCTTCTCCAGCTCCTGCGGAACACAGACAGAGGCCCCATGAGACTTTCACTCTTGAAACTAGGTTTGTTCAGACAAACAATGGAGATGCTCTCAGATCGCTGGTCTAGGGCCCCTCCAGTGACAGCCTAAGGGGAGATGAGGCTCTGGAAAGATGCCCAGCTCACCTATCGTGGGTCCCCTCCTACAGCAGCTGAGACCAAGGAGGCCAGCCGTGAGCTTGGCCAAGTTATTCACCCTCACCAGCATGCTAACGAGCCACTGATCTCAGCCCTACCTAACGTGTAAGCAGAGGCAGAGAGGGCGGGGAGACTGCCAAAAACTCAGTAATCGAGGTCAATATTTTAATGCAATACTTTCTTTGTTTGTTTTTGGTGGGTTTTTTTGGTACCAGGGATCGAACTTGGCTCCTTGCGCTTGTGCAGCAGGCGGTGAAACCACTGAGCTAAATCCCTGGCCCTTGTTTCGGTTTTTTTGAGACAGGGTCTCACTATGTAGGTGAGGCTTGCCATGAACTCCTTACGTATCCCAGACTGATCTCAAACTTGCAGCGATCCCCTGCCTCCGCCTCCCAAGTGCTAGGATTATAGGCAGGCACCACCACGCCCAGTTACGCAATTTTTTTGGGAAAATCAAATATTCTAAAAAAAATCATAATGAACAAACTATCAAAATTTTCAATAGGCAGGGGCTGTGGCCCACACTTGTAGTCCCAGCACCTAGAGGACAGAGGTAGCACAGAGCTGACCTTCTCCGATAGGGAAGCTATGACTGCAGGGGTACACAACTCAGAGGGACAGAGGTGACAAGGCCAGAAGCAAAGGTCACTTTGCCAACGCTACCTGACCACACACCTGAAGGACAGAGAAGAGGCTGGGCCACTGGAGCCAGAGGCTCTTGGAACGTGTCAGATTTAACAGATTTTGGAGAAAGGGTTGAAACCTGAAGACAGAATGGCCTCCTGCAAAGGCCTGGACCAAGGGCCATCCACGCCGCATCATTTCCTGGCTGCCTCAGCCCGGGCAGTTTGCTTGTCTCTGGTGCGTTCCCTCACAGGTGTAACGGGGATACAGGCCCCTCACAAGGTTGAAAGAGACGGCCCGCAGATGGAGCAAGCCCCCACCCGCCACGCCCCAGGAATGCTTCTTGCTCCCATGGAATGGGGTTCTCGGCCAGAGGTGCTGGGAGCCGCACAATCCATCCTGTATGGACGGTCACCTGTGGAAGCTTCAGGCCTACCTAGCACAGCCCTAACTGCTGCCACTGTCACTGAGCGAAAAGCCTAAATAATCCCTGCAGCTTTGCCAGCTCTCAGCTAACTTAAAGATCACTCATTTTGGAGGCCAGGTGGTGAGCATAATGGCTGCTCAGGACACTGACAGAGGTCCCACGGGCTAACTGGAACAGCGGTCAGGCCTAGCGTCTGCCTTCACATTGTGCCTGTCCCCCATGGGTCAGATTCTACTCAGTTCTGCATGTAAACATGTTGGCTACTGGAGAATGTTTTGTCCAAACATTAACCCAGGGTTACCTTGACCTCTTTCCTCTCCCTTCAAGGCTAAAGACATCCGCTGGCCGCCATGACCGGACACACCAGACCATGAGAGACACGAAAAGTGATGGCGGCCAATTTCTTGGATGGCCTCTAAAAGCTCCAGAAAAGACGTGGCTCTCCCTCCTTCCTACCCAGAATCTGTAAACCTCCACTGGAGGCCTTGAGAATCTGATGAAAGCTACGGATACCACCTGGAGTGCAGAAGTCAGTTTGTGAGCAGAGCGCTGCCTTCTCCATTCTTCGGCCATGAAATGAGGCCTCTCCTTCTCCCCAGCACTTGCCTCTTGGCCATTAGTTTTTCTGTGGAACGAACTTCTGGACTTGAGTTTGAAGACTTTATTTATGGAGACAGAGTCTCACTTTACAGTGCAGGCTGGCCTAAAACTCACGGTCTTCCTGCTTCAGCCTCCCAAGTGCTGGGCTTACAGGCATGTGTCATAATGGCCAGCAGATGACACCACTATTTATGACAGCGACAGTCCAGGGGATGTCTGAGAGGCGGCTGATATTGTAGTCAAGTGTGTATGGGGAAGGAGGTGGAGAAACAGGAGTAGGAGGAAGAGAAGCAAGGAGGAAGGGAAGGGAGAGACTGGGATTTCCTGGGGTAGTATCTATCTTGCATCAGATTCACAGAGGTGTCTCTGATTAGAAAAAGAACACTTCCAGAGATGGGCTCCACCTGGAGGAACCCCGAGTGGGTGCTGCTGGGCCTCTGCCTCTCAGGCCTGGTGCTCTCTTTCTACGTGCTGCACATGAAGGCGGCGCAAGCCCGAGACCAGGACTAGCACGCGCTCTGTGATGTGGGTGCTGCCATCAGCTGTTCTCACGTCTTCTCCAGGTGAAGCCAAGGCTTCGGGCTGGTGGAGCACGTGCTGGGAGCAGACAGCATCCTCAATCCATCCAACAGCGTATTCGGGTGGATTTTTTACTCGCTACAACTGTTGTTAGGTAGCCTGTGGGGACGCTGGGTCTCTGTCCTGCTAGTGCTGAGTTCCCTGGTGTCCCTTGCTGGTTCTCTCTACTTAGCCTGGATCCTGTTCTTCGTGCTCTATGATTTCTGTGTTGTCTGCATCACCACCTATGCTGTCAATGTGGGCCTAATGTGGCTTAGCTTCTGGGAGTTCCTGGAGCCTGAGGCCAAGGCCAAGCAGCACTGAGGCCTCAGCCCAAACTAGGATGACCTCATCGGCTTGTAGCCCATAGCCTTGGCCAAGCAGGCCATGTCTGGGTCCCTTGAAGGCCTTGCATTTCCCCCCAGCCATGCATAACCACACACAGGAAAGTGGACCGAATATGCCTGTCACTCTCTCCAAGGGCTGGTTTCTGCTCTGCCTTGGGAGGGAAGGTTCTAAGCAATAAAATTTCCTAAATAAAAAAAAAAAAGAAAAAAGAAAAAGAACACTTCCTAAAATGCAGGAAACCTATTTAAGAACTTACAACCCAGGCCGGGGATTTAGCTCAGTGGCACCGCCCCTGCCTTGCAAGCACAAGGTCCTGAGTTCGATCGCTGGTACCAAAAACAACAACAACAAACAAACAAACTTACAACCCAACGATGTCACAACAAGTGCCAGGCCTTGCACCATGTTCCTTTCCCGTGTCCTTTCTGACCTCACAGCAGCCCCACAGTAAGCACCAGCCTTTCTGCAACTCTTGGCCTCTGGCCCCTAAATGCAGAACTGGAGGAGCTGTACAACCTCGGGTTAAGGTCTGAAACTTTGCCCTCAACCTCCAGGGCCTCTGACATAGCTAGGATTTCTTTTCTCCCCCCTCAAAAATTGGACAAAACAAAACAAAACAAAATCTGCTGTTGCAAAAAGACAAACAGGCCTGGGGTGGTGGTGCACACCTGTGATCCCAGCACTCCGGAGGCTGAGGCAGGAGGATCACTACAAGTTCGAGGCCAGCCTCAGCTACATAGTGAATTCAAGGTCAGCTTGAACTGCTTAGCAAGACCCTGTTTCAAAAAACAAAATAAAGCGGGCCTGGAATTTAGCTCAGTGGTTCTGCCGCCTGTCCGTCAAGGACCGGAGTTCGGTCCCCGGTACCAAAACAAACAAACAAAAACCAAAACAAAGTCAAACATCTTGTGCCCAAGACTTTGGGACCTGGCAAACGAGCACCCGCAGAAGCGCCTCCCTAGAATCCCAGGGCAGCCTCGGAGTCGATCTCCGTGGCCCCAGGCCTCCCTGCAGCCCTCCTACCTCTGCAGACATCTCCTTCCAGGGCTCCAGGGCTCCAGGGCCCCGGGACCCGCGCGCGGGGATTCCATGCTGGTCCATGGCAGAGGGCTGTGCAGGAGGGCTGTGCAGGGTGCACTGCACTGGTGGCTGACAGGTGGGGCCGGGTCTAGGCAGGCCGCGCCCACCGCTGGACTGAATCGCACCACGGAGCCACGCCCACTGAATCACGCCCACCGCCGGCTTCCATTCGTTCTTCTCCGGGTTCTTCCCAAGAGAGGAAACAGTTTGCGGCAAAATCTCTTCCTGGGATCAGGGATCACGCGGGAGGGTGAGCCGGGGGGTCACGAGATCGAGGCCAGCCTGAACTACAGAGAGGGGGGGAGAGGGAGAGGGAGAGGGAGAGGGAGAGGGAGAGAGAGAGCGAGAGCGCGAGCCTGTATGAACAAAACTCGGAAAATAAAAAATAAAAAGTACTCCCGTCGGACTGCAGGCGCTGATTGGCTCCGGTTTTGGCAGCGCTGCCTCCCGATTGGCCCGCACGCCAGGCTCAAGAGGGACTGCGCGGGAAGCGGCCGGATCCTACAGGCGGCAGACAGGCGCTTGGGTCCCCGGTGCTGCTGTGTTCTCCGGGAGACACTATGAGCTGCATCAACCTGCCCTCAGTGCTGCCCGGCTCCCCCAGCAAGACCCGGGGCCAAATCCAGGTGCGGGGCACGGGGGTCGGGGTGGTGCCTGGCGTCCGCGTGGAGCGGACCCCAAGGTGACCTCTTCTTCTCTCCTAGGTGATTCTCGGGCCCATGTTCTCAGGGAAAAGGTAATGGCTCCCTGGGACCCCTGTGCTCCCCGGATCTTCCCAGATATCCCATCCGGGGCTCCTGCCCCGCCCCGCGTTCCTCTCCTCCGGAATCCAGTCCTGGAGGAAGCCGCGCGCATCCCCGCGGGGCTCGGGCCTTCAGGAGCTGGACACAGTTGGCCGCAGCCTAAGCCCCCCAATCCTCAGAAGGGGCGCCTGGGTGTGTGCACTGTGTGCACTGTGAGCCATCTTCTGTCTGGACACCCCTGCCCTGTGGCTGCTTCCTTCTGTGCCCGGGAACCTCCAGCTACTTCCTTCCCCGCTCCGGGGTTCCCTGAAGCCTGCAGCCTTAGCCATCCTCCCCCCACCCCCGGGAGGGGCCTTTCCCGGGACAGATGAAGCCACTGAGCCCCCCGAGTAAAGGCCCCGACCGTCACGCCGGCTCCAACCCCTTGCTCGGAGCGTGAGCCTCAGCGTCGGGGTTCTGGGCCCAGAAGCAAGCGGGTTGGTGAATCCAGAAAACCTGAGCGGCCCTGGAAATGCAGTCAGCCTCTGCCCCTTTCCCTACCTCGTCCCTGAGACCCCTGCTTCCCCGGTCTTACCGGGGCCGCTCGACGCCGTTCCTGCCCCGCGGCGGATGCAGACTGGAGGCCGGTGCGTGCTCCGTGCGAGACCCCAGGCCGCAGAGGGATGCTCGGCCCGGCGCGAACTCCGAGCCCGCCTTTTCTCTCCCGCGCTCCTCGGCTGCTCTGTGGGTTCCGTCGTGGGGTGCCGGCTGCCCACCACTAGGGGGCAGGGGCGGCCCGCCTTGTGCGCCGGCCTCGACTCAGCCTCTCTCTTGCAGCACCGAGCTGATGAGGCGGGTCCGCCGCTTCCAGATCGCGCAGTACAAGTGCCTGGTCATTAAGTACGCCAAAGACACGCGCTACAGCAGCGGCTTCTCCACACATGACAGGTCAGTCCTGCCCTGAGGTCCCGTCCCACAGAACTGTGTGAGGCTGGTTGGTCATTCTGATTCCGGGCCCTGACAGCTTCAAATCCAGGCGAGGCAGCTCTTGCCTGGGGTGCTCAGCAGGGATGGGGAGGGACTGCACCTCAGAGGCCACTTGACAGGTTTGGGAGGCATCTTTAGTTCTCACGCTGGAGGGGCCAGGGTGCTTCTGGTCTGTAACAGTGCCGGTCAGGGATGATTCCACAGGACTGTCCCCACACCCAGAATGGGCCCTGGATGCCTGTCCAGCCTGCCCAGATGGGGAACCTTGCTCTAGAGTTTGCACCCGGCAGAGGCTGCAAACTGGTTATTTGGCTTCCACGCTGATTTTTGTTTAATTTCTTAGTCATCTGTCCCTAGCTGGCTTCCTGTCACCTTATAGCCTTTATGCTTCTGGGTTGTATGTTTATCTGCCTGAGTCCTGTGGACATTTCCGGCCCTCGACCTCTCGGTGGGAGTTAAATCTAGTTCCTTGGTAGCAGATTTGGGGCTGGCATTCTGAGCCTGGGCACACTTCTCTGCCCTCCGGACTCCCGGCAGTGACACAGATGTGCTGCTGTCCAGAGAACCAAACTACTTGACAACACTTGGCCTGGGGTGGGGGCCCGGGGGTTCTGAACCTGGAAGGGAGGTGGAGAATGCCAGGACTCAGGTACATGCAAGGAGTCAAGACACATGCAGGGCCAGGGACTTAGCTCAGTGGTTCTGCCGCCTGCCTCACAAGGGAAAGGTCCCGAGTTTGATCCTCCCAAAAACAAACAAGACACATGCGTCATGGTTGAACGTCAGACACACACGGTTCGCTTCCCTGCCATTCCCTGCACTGGGGTCAGTGAGAGCAGAGGAGGAGACGTGGTACATGTTGTACAGTGGTTACCGAGGCACCTTCTAGGGTGGGCTGGATCTAAGATTGCGTGGCTCACAGGTCTAACCCTGGTGGCGTTGACAAAGGTCTGCAGATGCCGAAGCCATGGCCAGCTGGCTGCCTGCCTGTCCTCCCGCTGGTCTTATGTGTCTGGGGAGGGAAGAGGGAATTTAAAGTGCATGAAATCCTGCTTCAAGTTCTCCCCAGATCTTGAGGATTGTTATCACAAGATCATAGATAGGCAGTAGGGCCAGGGATTTAGCTCAGTGGTGCCACCGCCTGCCTCACAAGTACAAGGTCCCGAGTTCTATCCCTGTTGACAACAACAACAACAAAAAGCAGTAGCTGTGAACTACTATAAATTTTTTTTTTTTTTTTTTTGGTACCAGGGATCAAACTCGGGTCCTTGCGCTTGCGCAGCAGGCAGCAAAACCACTGAGCTAAATCCCGGCCCTGGACATTGCTGATTTCTAGTCCGGAGTCTGAGCAGGACACGGGGGCACACGTCTGTAATTCAGCACTCTGGGAGGCTGAGGCAAGAGAATCACAAGTTCAAGCCCAGCCTGGGCAATTTGTAACCTAGCACGACCAGGTCTCAAAGTAAATTAGGCCCTGGGTTCAGTCCCCAGTACCACCCCCAAAAAAGCAGAGCGTCAGTTAACTGGTTTTCTGACCCTGGGTCTGTATTCTCCCCGATCCCTCCCCACAGATGCTGACTTCTCAGCACTGTGCTGGGCCACACTGCCCCAGCTGTGCAGGAGGGGGTGGCCCTACATCCCCTGCAGCTTGCTCTCTCCGGGCTCGGTTTCCCCAGCCTCACTTGAGCTCTGGCTTTCCTCCTCAGGAACACTATGGAGGCGCTGCCAGCCTGCCTGCTCCGGGACACAGCCCAGGAGGCCCTGGGAGCGGCCGTCATAGGCATTGACGAGGGGCAGTTTGTGAGTTCACTGCCCTGGCATTGCTTCCCACGGGCTATCCCCCTCTTCCTGCTGGTTTGCATGTTATCAATTCTGTCTCTGATCTGTTAGTAAAATAACAGGGTTAACTTACCTCAGCTAGTATCTGTGGTTGGCTCTGTGGACAGCTTTAGGGTCCCTGCCAATCCACTGGGGGAGGGGAGGGGAAGGAGCGCTGCTGTAGTAAATACACCCCCAATGCCAGAAAATTAAGATGACACTTTTTTTTTTTTTTGGTACCGGGGAATGAACCCAGGACCTTCTGCTTTTGAGGCAGGCACAGTGCCACTAGATGACACATTTTTTTAAAATATACTTAAGCCAGGTGTGGTGGTGTGTACCTGTAACCCCAACACTGTGGGAAACTAGGCAGGAAGATCCTAAGTCCAAGATCTGCCTAGACAACTTATTGAGACCCTGCCTCAAAATAAAATAAGGGATGTAGCTCAGCGGTACAGCGTCCTTGGGCTCAACCCCCCATCCCATCCATGCAATATGTGAGATAAGGATGGAATATATTTATTCACAGTATATACCATGATGATTTAAACATATTGCACTATTGAAATTTATTTCTCACTCACATAGTCCTATGTGGTTCCCGCCCACAAGGCTTCCATTCTCTCTGCCTTTAGGTGGCCCTGGGTGATGAGGACCCAGACCCCTGGGTGACTCCCATCTAGACAGTGGAAGGAGAAAGACCCAGCAGAACCCCCTCCCCCCACAGTGTGGGGTTTTCATGCCAGAAGTCACATGATCTGCTGGCTGGAATTTGAATGTGGTTCCCTAACTACATTTAGTCTCACTCCATAGCCTGGAGGAGGAAGTGATTCTTTGGTTAGCGGATCTCTCCTCACCCTGACTCCCAGTGCAGGAGCTGGTGGCTCAGTCCTGGTCCACCTGTACGAGTCATGGCTCCCAAACCATGGGTACAGTGAGGCTGCCTGTCCCCCACTGCACATGTGGGATGTCTCCCTTTGAGCTGGATGCCAGGCTGCCAGTTCTCACTCTGGGTTCGGGACCCTGCAGCAGATGTTTGCCCACCCATCTTGGGTGTGCCCAGTCAGGGACACTGACATCGTCTTTTGTTTTGGGGGCTGTTTTTTTTTTCGGTGGTACTGGGGATTGAACCCAGGGCCTTCTCCCTGAGCTACATCCCCAGGTCTTTTACTTTTTTATTTTGAAACAGGGCCTAGCTAAGTTTTAAATTGCCTAGGCTGGGCTCAAACCTGTGTTCCTCCTGCCTCAGCCTCAAGAGTATTGGGTCCTTCTAGTCCTCATACCTGTGTATTCTGACCAAGTGGCTCATAGCGCTGCTGTGCCCTTTGTTTCTTGCGGGGTCAGAGCCAGCCTCAGATGTCCATGCAGTAGGCCCCTGGGACAGCAAGGTCCTTGGTGCAGGGGACACAGCAGAGGCCCCACCTTGAGTTGACACCTGTCAGATGGTGGCAGCTGCTAACGATTATCAGGGAAAGGCCAAGAAGGGGGTGAGAGTTACTGCAGGGAGGGTCCTAAAGGGGACAGTTTGAATGGGGCTTGAAGGAGCCCCAGGAGCCTGGGTGCTCCCGCAGGAGCATGGCTGGAACCATCAAGGTGAAGAGGCAGCTGTGCCACAGGGCTACAGAGACGAGGAGAGACAGGAAGTTGTTGGGGTGGCCTGGCCTGACTGTGAGCCCAGGAGAAATGGGAGCCAGAGGCCGTGGTGAGGTCTGCTGGGCCTTTGCAGAAGAGCCAGGTGGGTGGCCTGCCGGGTGACGGCTCACACGCGGGGCATGCGCATGTCTCTGACTGCGTGTCTCATTTCTGCGTGGCCAACAGCTTCTCCGTGCCTGTCTGCGGTCCGTTTTTCCTCTCGGACACTGCCTCTCTAGGGTTTCCACCTTTCCTTCTTTCCCCCCTCCCCTCTTTCTTCCTTTCAATAGTTGGTGCTCCCTGATCACACTGCGAATCTCTCTCCCCCATTTATTTGAATTTTGTCTGTGGCATCTGACTTAGTCTCTCACCATTGGGAATTTGTTGTTTTACTTTGTTACATCCTCGCTCTTTCCCAGGGGCTTGGATGCCAGGGAGCAGAGGCCTCCCCTGGGCCGACCAGCTGGCCCTTGTTAAGATGCTAAGAAGGTGACAGTCTTCTCCTAGGCCTCCTAATCTTGCCTTTGGATTCCCTCCCTCTCTTCAAGACTTACTTGTTCAGAGGAGCTGGGTTTGGTGACACCTGCCTATAATCCCTGCACTTAGGAGGCTGAGGCAGGAGGATCTTGAGTTCTGGACAGACCTAACTGCAGGTGCTCAGGAGGTGCGGACACAGCTGATGAACTCAAATGGACAGACTTGTCACTGTCAGTGGGCTCCTTGCTGCTTTTCTGCATGTGTGGATTCCACACTGCAGGGACTTTTGCCTTCCTGAGTTCCTTGAAGTTCCTTTATATTTATTTATTTATTTATTTGGGCTGTGCTGGGGATTGAACCCAGGGCCTCACACATGCTGGGCAGGCAGTCTGCCACTGAGCTACAGACCCAGTTCTTCATAGCATTGTATTTTGGGACAAAGCTTGCTCAGTTGCCCGAGCTGGCTCCACACTTGCCATACTCCTCCTTCAGCCTCCCAAGCCGCTGCAATTCTGGGTGTGTGCCACAGCACCAGCTCGGCTGCACTTCACACGGCCCTGCCTCGGGCTCCTCAGGCAGCAACACTACAAGGAAAGGGCCTAGGCCTCTCTCCCCAGCCTGGTAGAACAGCAGGCCGCTGTGCTGCCAGAGGGGCCTGGGCAGTGGTGGGCACGTGTGCATGGCCCAGTCCCTAGTCTGGGGACCTCAGGGGCACATTAGTGCCCTTGTTCTCAGGCTCCATGTGGAGCTGCATTGTCGAATGAATCGGGCCGGCTCTCTGAGGCCCCAGAAAGCTGCGGCTGGGGGTAGCAGCTCACTCTTCCTCCACCCACCCCTTCCCAGTTCCCTGACATTGTGGAGTTCTGCGAGGGCATGGCCAATGCCGGGAAGACAGTGATCGTGGCGGCCCTGGACGGGACCTTTCAGAGGAAGGTAAGGCGCCCAGTCCCTGGGCGGGATCAGGAAGGAGGAGGGGCCTTGGTGGACACTGGCCACCAGTGTTCCCCTTCTCTGCCACTATGGAGGGCACTGCCTGAGCTCAGGTTCCCCCAGGTCTGGCCAGAATGGGTGCCACCTGCTGTTGGGTGCTTTAAATCTGGAGGGACAGAGCAGGGCATGCACTCAGTGAGGGCAGGGTCAAGGTGGAAGTCCCTCTTCCATGCCCCTCAATCAAAGGGTATCAAACAGCAGGCCCGGGCATCTGGGCTCACCTGCGTCCTCCATGCCTGCAGGCTTTCGGCAGCATCCTGAACCTGGTGCCCTTGGCTGAGAGCGTGGTGAAGCTGACCGCTGTGTGCATGGAGTGCTTCCGGGAAGCCGCCTACACCAAGAGGCTGGGCCTGGAGAAGGAGGTGGGTCCACCTGCTTCTGTCTCTGGGGGCCCCTTTGACACCCCACCGACCCTTCTTCCCTTCCTCCCTGCTGCCAGGTCGAGGTGATTGGTGGAGCAGACAAATACCACTCCGTGTGTCGCCTCTGCTACTTCAAGAAGTCCTCGGTCCAGAATGCTGGGCTGGACAACAAGGAGAACTGCCCAGTGCTGCCGGGGGAGGCCTCAGTGGCCAGGAAGCTCTTTGCCCCTCAGCAGGTGCTGCAGTGTGGCCCTGCCATCTGAGGGTCCCCATGTGGCCCTGCAGAGGAGCCAGAACTGTGCCCACGACGTGAGACAGGCCCGCTCTCCTCGCCCGTCCGCCCGCCCTCTGGCCTCTCAGGCTTTGCCCCCGTGGCTGGATGACGCCCGAGGCTGGAGCCAGCCAGGCCTCGTGGTTTGGGGTCCACACTGCCTCCTCCTCCAGGGAGCGGGCAGAGCCACACACCGGTGTGACATTGGTACTGCTGGCTGCTTCCCTCCCCCTTGTGATTTTCACTTTCGAGTTTCTCTTCTCCTTGGGGTGCCTGTGCCTCGCCGTGCAGAGGCCCCCCTGTCCATCTGAGGACGTCTGGTCCGGTGCCCCCTGCTGCCCTTTGGGCTGAAATCCCTCCCTACACTCTAGCTCTAGCAGTGGCTTCTCCAGAAAAGATGTCATCTTTCAGGTGCCAGAGCTTGACTCTTAAAGAGGAAGGTGCTCTGTGGGGCTGAGCCCGGCCTCTTTTGCTGCCGCTTTGACGTTAATGACCAGTATTCAAATTTAGTAACTGGTAAAGACACATTTCAGTCTGGCCTGGGTTCCCGGGTCTTATACGCCGCTCCTATGTGATTCGAGTGGAGATCTCATCTCACCCAGGTCTTATTATTCTAGTGCTCATAAGCTCCTGACCCAAGCCTGATGATGAGAAAAGACTGAGGAACAGGCCAGGGATTTAGCTCGGTGGTTTCACCACCTGCTGCACAAGCGCATGGACCCGACCCGAGCTTGCACCCCGGTACCAAAAAAAAAAAAAAAAAGACTGAGGAACTTGTCCACCCCGCCTTTTTGTCTGTCTGGTTTTAGGACGAATAAGCCTGCGGTCCAGGCTGGAAAGCCCAGGCGTTGGTGGGTGTTAGTGCCAGCCGGGGCTGGAAAGTCAGGTTGTTTGTGAAGCAGACACTGAGGAACGAGCTCAGCTGTGCTCCGGAGAGGCCTGCTCGCAGGGCTGGGTGCAAGGGTAAGGCCTGTACCCTGGTCTGTGCCGTGCTCACACACTGGGTGGAGAAGGGTCAGTATTCCCAGGGGCCTGTCCTCTCCTCTTTGCTATATCCCAACTTGCCGGCTATTGGTTGAGGCCTGCAGCTCACAGGGCCCAGTAGTAGGGAGCTAGGCATCTGTACTGGGATTTTGAAACTTAGGCCCCACTGTCCACAGCTCCAGACAGTTACACAAAAGGAGAAGCCAGGAGTTGCATCAGGGGTCCCATCTCCTGCCTGAGGGCCCACTTCCCCGGGCCTGGCCCAGGAAGGGATTCCCCAGGTACTCTGAGCCCTGACCTGGGGGGAATCGGAGGGCCTGGACCACCCCACTCAGCGCCTCACCCCTGCTGTGGAAGAAAAGGGTTACAGGGGAGGGGTCTCGAGAGGGGCAGCTCCCAAGTGTCCCCCACCCTCCCAACACTAGGAAGGCAGCGGCTGGGCCGCCTCACAGGCCAGAAAAACCTGTCTTGTTTACAAGCTGAGCACACTGGCTATTTTAGGATGCTGGTTGAAGGTGGGGGAAGGGGGATGCCACATATAGGACAAAATACAGTCCTGAAGTCAGCCCCCCAAGCTGGAACCTGAGGAATCCTACCTACTACCTCTGGGCTGAGGCCCAACCCAGGACAATGGAAACTGAGAAAAACATTTATTCCATCTCCAAACCAGTCCAGCAGAATCCAAGGGCAAGGGGCATCTCCCCGAGGCTTTTTAACACATTCCAACAGCCTGTGGGTTGTGGCTCTCACACTTGGTAACTGAAGTTGCAGAATATTTACATAAAGCTGGGCGTTATGTCAGGCAGAGGCCCTCCCTGCTGCCAGGGTTGGGAGCAAGAAGGAAGGGCCATGGGTCCCCCGGGTGGGCACCAGCCCCATACCTGTGGCAGTGAGAGCCAGCCCAGAAGTGATTGGCACAGAGTGGCAGGCCCCAGAGGACACAGCACAAGCCCAGCCTGAGTAGGGCACGACATGGGGCTGAAGGCATGGAGGTGGAGGTGGCAAACCTGAGTGAGGAGTGCGAGCCTGAGCCCAGCACTGGAGAGACGTGTGAGGCCCCCGGCCCCCATCTTTGGCAGAAAGCCCAGATGGCCGGCTGTCAGCCTTGGGCTGGGCTCAGCTCCTTGGGGCGAGGGGGACACTAAGGCACTTGTCAGAAGAGCACAGTGTGGGCTACTGGCTGCTACTAGCAGACCGGGCTCATGGAAAGCAAAAAGGAGCTGGGAGTGTAGCTCAGTGGCAGAGCGCCTGCCTAGCATGTGTGAGGAGGCCCTAGGTTCCAGCCCCAGCACCAAGGGGGAAGAAAAACAGCAAGAGAACTTCTAGCTAACCCTTCCTCAAAATGCCCTGGAGTGGGTGCATGTTAAGGCCCTATGGGTGCAGGGACTTAGGGTGTGCTGCTGGGCACAGAAGGCCAGGGCTCTCCAGGGGGCCAGGATCCAGGGGAACCGGGCATCCTCCCCTGCCCTGCAGCTCCGATCAGTACACAGGGGGCGGCTGGTAGCCCTCGGTGGTGTCTGCGTTCTGGGTGAAGGGCGGCTGCTGGTAGCTGTCCACCGATCCGCTGGGGTAGGAGGCATAGGCTGTGTTGGGGTCTGGGGTGGGATCCACATAGTTCTGGATGAAGGCATCCACTCCAGCCTTGTAGCGCTGGTAGGCCAGGGAAGCCAGTGTGCCCTGCAGGGAGGTGAGAGGTGGGCAGGGTGCTGGGTGGAGGGTCCATTGCTGTACCCACGTCCGCTGGTCCTGAATGGCAGCCCAGCCTACTCACCCAGGAGAAGATGGAGAAGAAACTGAAGGTGATGGCTGCCCGGGCTGAGTCACCTCCCACCAGCACATCTTCAGGCCTGGTGGCTGCCCACTGGTTGGTAAGGAAGCAGAAACCAACAAACCACAGGAAGGTCCAGAGAGCTGGGGAGAGGATGGGGGGTTGGCTCCAGGTAGGGACGGGGCTTTCTGGGGACCCAGGAAGGACAGCCCTAAGGCAAGGATCTCCCAGAGCCCAGGGGTGTGTACACTGCAGGGGCAAGAGGTGAAGACTAAGGGGGTGCCCACCAGGAGGGACCTGCCTCAGGCCCACTGCAGTGGGTTTCAGCAGACTCTGGAAGCCTACAGCCCAGCCCGCGATGGTCTGCTCAGTGGGGCTGGTGACCCTGTCCCCCACTCTGGCCCGGAGAGGCCCTAAAACGCCTCTGGCTCCGGTGCCCATCCCAAGGGCAGACAGGCACCACAGGCGGGTACCTGAGAAAAGCAGGTCAGCAATGACCAGGTACTTGCGGTCAGTGGCGTTGCTGATCTGGGGGAAATAGATATCAACTACGAAGAAGAAGCCTGAGGCCAGAAAGGCCAGCACCCCAATGGTGGAGCCGTAGCGGCAGGCGTCCTCGTTGCGGTTGAAGACACAGTACATCTGATCCGAACTGTGTGTGTTGCTGTAGCCCTCACCGAAGATGCAGGAGAACACAATCAAGGCGAAGACCTAGCACAGGGAAGAGGATGCTGCAGAGTGGGTGCCACTGGCCAGCTCCAAGGGACGCGCCTGGAAGGGGTCCTGGAAAGGCATTCGAACACTTGCTGGTCCCGCCACTGCCTTTCCGTCTGAACCCGCTGAGGTGGGCTGACAGGCAAATGGCTCCCCCGATCCCCAGACCAGTCTCCTACTACCAAGGGCCTGCTGGGGATTCCTGGACTGGGGAGGGTGGGGACTGGTTGGGGAGCTCCTGGGAGGGGATTCCCCCTGTTTGCTGCAAGTCACCTCGTTTTGAGCTCGTGATGGGGACACAGGGCAAGCTGCACACCCCCACTTTGAATTTTAAGCAATACAGGCTACAAAGTCTGAGTCTCGCCTGCTCCCCATCTCATTACCTGCTTGGGGAGCCACCTCTACTTTGCCAACCTCTTCCGGAACACCCTGGTGAAGGGCAGCTCCACCTCTGGAAAGCCATGCCAATGCCCCTGGGGGCTCCTGCTTCTCCAAGCCCCTGCCAGCACCAGCCCTGGCCCTTCTAGCTCCTCCCTGGTCCCAAATGGACTCCCCAGTCCTGCCAGCTTCCTCCCCACAAGGACTTCCGGCCTCCTGGCATCCTGGTCCCTCCCCTCCCCGCCCCTACCTGGAGCTCCAGTCTCAGTGCTGTAGCACATCAGGTGCTCCAGATAGCCTGACTACAGGGCAGACCCCTGGGGTGGGGCTGGGGGCCTGGAGGGTGAGCACAGACCAGCTGGAACTCCCAGGGGGAGTCCAGCCCCTGCAGAGCAGACCATGTCACCTGGCTTCCTCCCCAAAATTCAAGGCCACCGTCCATGCCCAGCCCATCTCAGCAGATTCAGAGGAGTCTGTGGTGGGCACTTGGCTCCCTCTGAGGAAGCCTCCCCCAGGGTCCGTTGTGCCCTGGCTGGGAGCTCAATAGGGTTCTGGAGCCACCAGTCACAAGCCCCACCCCCAGCTGGAGAAGCCGGAACTCCGGGTGCAGGGAGCAGAGTACTCCCAGGGCTGCTGGCACCGCCGTCCCGACCCACCAGGGAATCTGGGCCAAGGCCACAGCCCAGGGCAGCCGGTCAGACCCCACGGTCGGGCTGGGGGTCCCCAGGCACCTACCCCCGCCACGCGCGCGCCTGACAGTTATCACCTGTCCGGCTCCCCACACCAGGTCCCAGAGAGCCTGCCCAGCTCGTGAGGAGGGCATGGCCTTGCTGGGCACGCAGACCCGGGCCAGCTCCCGGGTGGGAAGGGAACCCCGTTTAGGGCGCCGTGCCGCCTCCTGCCGCACCCCACGTGGCTTCTGAAAGCCCCTTCGCGGTGAATCCCCCGCCCTGGGAGCGCGGCGGGCGCGGCGGCCACCTGCTCCGCAGCCGCGCGGCTCCTCCCCTGCCAGCGGGGCGACAGGCCTGTCCCCGCCGGCCGGGCTCCGCGCCAGGGCGGCGGGACTGGCGGGGGCCCGGGGCGCGGAGGGGGCAGCGGGCCGGGCCGGGCCTGAAAGCCAGTCCCACGCGCGTTGCCGGGCCTGGCCGCCGGCGCCGCCACCTGTCGCGCTCCCGGGCTGGCGGCCCGGCCCGGCCCTAGGAGGCGCCCCGCGCGCGGCCCGGCCGCTCCCCGGCTCACCATGCACACGGCGCGCGCCACCACCTGCGGCTGAGTCAGGAAGCGCCGCAGTTCGAAGGAGCCGCCCGCGTTGGCCGCGCCATAGGCCCCGCTCTCCATGTCGCCGTCGCCGCTCGCCCCGGGCCGCCGAGCACAGGAACCCGCGACGCCCCGCCCCGCCCCGCCCGGCCGCGGGGCGTGGCCTCGGCCAGGGACCGGGGGCAAAGTGCGGCCTCCGAGCCGCCGCGGGGCGGGGGACGCGAGAGATCCCCCAGGAAAAGGGACCGCTCCCCTCCAGGAAGCCCGCCACAGGCCGACTCGGGCCTCCACCTACCAGGACGCAGGCTCATAAAGCCCCCGCTCTCTCAAAACCCTACCTGCGCCTGCTTGTAATCCCAGCACTCTGGGAGGCTGAGGCGGGAGAATTTCAAGTTAGAACCCAGTCTAGGCAATTAAGCGACTTAGCAAAACTCTTCAAATAAAAAATTAAGGGCTAGGGGCTGTAGCTTAGCGGGAGAAGGTATATTTGAAGTCACTTTCGAGGTCATGGGTTCGAACCTCAGCTCCGAAAAAGAAGAAAAAAAAAAAACAGGCTGGACTCCCTTTATGACCAGTTACTCTTCCTTCCCCTCTGAGCTAAGCCTACAATGGGGTCGAGGCCCCCATCACCACTTTCCCATGTTTCCTGGGCTGGGCGGGCCCGAGGTCCCGAAGCCTTCCAAATACTGAGACAAAATGAAAGGGAACCCAGGTCCCCGGGGGACGGAGTCAAATGCAGTTCCACTCAGCAAAGGCCCAGAGCCTCAAGGATGTGGAGGGCTGATCCTCTGCCTGGTGAGAGAATCCTGAGAGGCTCTTGGGGTCCACACCCTGACCCCCAGGGAGGAACTGCAGACCGAATGACAGCAGGATTCCCCAAGGGCTGGCAGGCTGGCAGGACTTTTTCTTTTTTGGGTGTGTGTGTGTGCAGTGTGTTTGAAATACTGTCTCACTGGGTGGTCCAGGCTGGCCTTGAACTCATGATGGAATGCTAAGATTACAGGCATACACCATCAGCCTGCCTTTTCTTTCCTTTTTTCTTTTTCCAGTCCCAGGGATTGAACTCAGGACCTCGTGCTTTTGCAAGGCAGGCAGGGTTGACACAGCTAAATCCGCTTGTGAGGCAGGCATCGGAACCACTGAGCTAAGAGCTAAATCCCCGGCCCTCCCTTCCTTTTTTGTTGTTTGGTTGATTGGGTTTTGTTCCTCTTTTCTGTGCTAATGATTTTGAGAGTGCACACTGGGGATTGAACTTGGGGCCCTTGCAATGGGCTTCATCCCCATTCCTTTTCTATTCTTTATTTTTCAGACAGGGTCTCACTAAGTTGCCCAGGCTGGGCTCAAAAACAGGAAAACATGATCCTCCTGCCTCAGCCTTTTTTTAAAAATTTAGGTTTTTGTTTTTTTTTTTGAGACAGGGGTCTTGCTAAGTACCTCAGGCTGACCTTGAACTCATGGTGATCCTCCTGCCTCAGCCTCAAGAGTGCTGAGGTTACAGACGTGTGCCACTACACCAGGTTTAAATTTAGTATTTTGGGGCCAGGGATGTAGCTCAGTGGTTCCGGTGCCTGCCTCGAAAGCACAAGGTCCTGAGTTCCATCCCTGGTACTGAAAAACAAGCAAACAAAGGTAATATATTTAGTGTTTTGTTGAACATGGTGGCACCCATCTGGAATCCAAGTGCTCAGAAGCTGAGACTGGAGAATCGCCTTGAGTTCGAGACCCTATCTAATAAGTAATTAAATAAAAATAAATTAGATTTTTAATTATTTTTTACCCTTCCATCACTCCATTTGCCCTGCTCTCTTTTTCTTTCTTTCTTTCTTTCTTTTTTTTCATTTTTGTTTTTTCTTAGTTTTGTTTCGTTTTGTATGGGACAGGGTCTCACTACTTAGTCCAACCTGGCTTTGAGCTCACTATGTCACCCAGGCTGGCCTTGACCTCCTTGATTCTCCTGCCTCAGCCTCCTTAGTGCTGGGATCACAGATGTGCGCCACCATGGCCCACCATTTCTGCTCATTTTTAAAGACAAATGTTGGGCTGGGGATTTAGCCCAGTGGCTCTGTCGCCTGCCTCGCAAACGCAAGGACCTGAGTTCGATCCCCGGTACCAAGAAAAATAAATAAAAAATAAAGATAAATGTTATTGTGTATGTTGAAGGTATGCAACTTGCTGCTATTAGATACACACATAAAATGGTTCCTACAGGGAAGCAAACAAACATATCCCTCATCTCAGTTACCCAATTTTTTGTTCTTGTGGCAACAGCAGCTGCAAACTACTCATTTAGCGTGAATCCTACACACAAGACAAGTCTATCACCCGCATCTTCAGAGACTCCTGCATCCGGCCCGCCCGCTGCTGTGTCCTCAAACCGTGGCTCCCTTGTCTCCTGCCGGGGGCTACTCTTCATCCCCGCGGAGGGTCCTTCTGTGGGGCCCAAGGCAAGGCTGGGGCTCCGGGTGGATTCACGAGCCCGCAGCTTCTGCTCACAGCCTGGATGAAAAGGAGGAGACGTGGGTCAAGTCGGTGCCCGCTCCCGTGGCCCCTTCAGGGGATGGCGGGGCGCATGCGCGGTCTGGGCAGGCGGGCACCCCTAACGGGGGGTGGGGTGGGGGACGACACGCTGGTCCCGGCCACAGCTCCAGGGAGCCAGGTCTCTGCGCCCCATGTCCGGAAGGGAGCGCTAGGCCCAGTTAGGTGAGTCTGGCCTCTGCAAAGGACAGACTTGGGGCAGAGACCCCGAGGTGAGGCAGCTGCCATCACCTAAGGCCAGGCCCACTGGGGTCACACAGCCCAGAGGCCCTGGTCACTGTACTGACATCAAGGAAGTGATAGCCTTGGAGAAAGGACCCTGGCCCCTGCCAGCACCTGGGAAAGGCTGACTGTGCCATCCCTGGAGGATGGGAGCTCTAGGTTCACCTCGGTCCCCAGGTGGTGACGTCAGGCCTTAGCTGAAGGAAGAAAAGCTCCATCCTCAGGTAGGCTGGCACCACGGCAGGCAGACTCGGGCAAGGTTCAGGTTCAGGTTCAGGTGTGCAAGGAATGTGCATGCTTGGGTGGCCCTCAGCATGAGGGGCTCTTGATAAGGTTTTCTTTTTTTTCTTTCTTCTTCTTTTCTTTTTTCTTTTGAGACAGGGTCTCCCTATGCAATTCAGACTGGCCTCCAACTCGCTGGGCTCACAGGCGTGCTCCGCTGCGCCCAGCTTAGCAAAAGTCTGAGTTGTGGCTGTTGTGCCCTCTCAGCCCAGGTGGCAGCCCTGCCCCCCAAGCCAGTCTCCTGCTCCCCGCCATTGGGCACCCACTACCCACCTGGTCCAGCCCAGCATCCCGGAGGCCACAGCTGCAATGGAGATGAGACTGCCGGTCAGCACGAGTGCAGGTCCTTGGGGGAGCTCCCCTGTGCGGGTGGCAGAGGTGGCCGAGCTGGGCTTCCTCAGCAGGGGCCAGGGAGGGCGCGCTACCTGCTGCCCCCCAGACACTTGGCACAGCCCCCTCCCAGCCACGGAGTGATGCCGAGGGGACCTCTTACCTGGGGGCACCAGTGTGAGGGCGCTGCTCTGGACCCCTACGCTGTTTTCAGCCTGGCACTGGAACCAGCCCAGTGCGGGGGGCAGTGGGAAGGAGAAGTTGGCAGGCTGCCCGTGGAGTGGCCTCTGTTGCATGTGGACCTGCCCGTCCTTGCTGACCAGGCGGTAGGTGATGAGCGGGCTGCCTGAGGGCGCCCAGCAGGACATCTCTGCCCTGGGGCCTGGCCCTCCGCTGTGCAGGGTGATGTTAGTCTGCAGCTGGGACACGGGCTCTGGTGGGTGGGAGACAGAGCACAGCATGCTGGGAGATTGTAACCCCCTCCCCAGCACATTCCCATTACAGATGCTTGATGAGCCTGGAGGTGTGGCTCTGACTGCCACCTCCTCCGGGAGGCTGGCCAGTGTCCCGGTCATGTGCCAGGTCCTCCTCTGGCCTGCTTACAGTGGGCACTATGTAATTTCACTTTTGGTTTTGGTTTTGTTTTGGTGTAGTATATTTCAGTCACCAGACTTAGCAAATAAAAATACAAGACACCCAGTTAAACTTGAATTTCAGATAAACAATGAATTTTTTGGTTTTGGTTTTTTGGGACAGGGTCTCGCTACATAGTCCTGGCTGCCCTTGAACCCACTATGTAGCTCAGGCTGGCCTCAGACTCACGGTGATCCTCCTGCCTCAGCCTCCTGAGTGCTGGGATTATAGACCTGGGCCACTACACCCAGCTCTGACTATTAATACCTTTTTAAATTGCAGCTTTTCCTATGTAAAATTTATCTGGCAACCCTAATTTTAAAATTATAGGAGGGTATTGTTTCAGGCTAGGGTTCTGCACTATCCAGGCTAAAAAATCAAAATGGAGCAAATGACATTGAAGTTCCAGGTCACTATGCTAAAACAAAGCTGTTTATCTACCCTGAGAAATCAGGACTTGAAAGAGAACAGCTAAATTTCCCATACAGGCTGGTTCTAACTGACATATTAGTGACTCTCCCTCTGCACCAGTCCTTACCAAAGAAAGGCAAGCTAAAGCAACAGAATATGAATCTATCCATCAGTCCTTCCTTTCTTTTCTTATCTTTTTTTTCATACCGGGGACCGAACTCAGTTCCTTGTACTTGTGAGGCAGGTGTAGTGCCACTGAGCTAAATCCCCGCCCTCTTTTCTTTTCTTTTCTTTCTTTTTTTTCAGTGGTGGGGATGCAAATCTTGGACCTTAGGGCAGCGCTAGGCCAGCACTTTACCACCGAGCTGCACCTCCAGACCTCCAGCCCCCATCAGCCAATTTTGTATTGTTCTGTCCCTAGATTGTCCAAGAAAAACAACTTTGAAATGACCAGTTCACCTTTGTTCTTGGCCCTTGTTTTCTTCACCCTTTCTCTGTCTAGAAAACCAAGCTCTGAGGGCTGGCGGTGTAGCTCAGTGGCAGAGCATGTGCTTAGCGTACACAAGGCCCTGGTTCCATCCCAGCACCACAAAGGGGAAAAGAAAAGGCAAACTTCTTGGGGTTTTTTTTGTTTTTTTTTTTGAGACAAGGTCTTGCTTTGTGTTCAGGCTGTGATGAATTCACTTTGTAGCCCAGGCTGGCCTCGAACTCTTGGTGATCCTCCTGCCTCTGCCTCCCAAGGGCTGGGATTACAGGCGTGTGTCACCACGCCTGACTGAATGCATTCTTTTTTTTTTTTTTTTTGTTTTGGTACCAGGGATTGAATTTGGGTCCTTGCGCTTGTGCAGCAGGTGGCAAAACCACTGAGCTAAATCCCCAGCCCAGAAAAGGCAAACTTCTGCTCAGCTCACCACAGTACTTATTCTGTTTTGTGAAATGAAGTGTTGCTTGATTCTAGAATAAAAAATAAAGTCAAATAAGATCACTAAACTAGGGTAGGGGCTGTACTTCAGTGCTAGAGCTCTTACCTGACATGCACAATGCCCAATCCTGCCACCTATTAATACTAAGTGTTCCTCATTGAATCCCTTCTAAATCCCCAGGGATTTTCTTTTTCTTTTTTTGCTTACTGAGACAGGGTCTTGACTTTGTAGCCCAGGCTGGCCTTCAACTCAGGATCCTCCTGCCTCAGTCTCCCAAGAGCTAGGATTGCAGGCATACACAACCATGGCTGGCTTTAGGGCCCTATTATAACCTTTGCAGAAGAAATAGCCCAGGCCCTGAGGTTGAGTGACTTGCCCTGGACCCCACAGCCAGCCCAGGGTGGGCTCTAAACCCTGCTCCTCTGGGGGTCCAGGCCTGGGTGCCTCCCCCAAGGCTGCCTCTCCTGGTTGGTGTAATCAGAATGTTGAGACAGAATGGATAGGAGCCCTGGTCCCACCATAGGCTGGGCAACACTTCCTATTCCTACCAGGGACAGTGTGCAGATTGGGTAGAAGTGGGGGAAAGTGGATTTGCAGGGACAGCACTTTTTTTTTTTTTTGAGGCACGGTCTCGCTGTGTAGTTGAGGCTGGCCCTGAACTCCCTATGTAGCCTAGACTGGCCTCAAATTCACAGTGATCCTCCTGCCTCAGCCTCCTGAGTGCTGGGATTATAGCATTCAGTGATTACAGTACCAATGGCAGCCTGGAGGTGAGCAGCTGGTCCTCCATCCTCACTTGTGCCCTGGCCCTCAATAATCCCTCCCAGTGCCCAGTCCCAGCCAGGCTCCTGGCCTGCACTCACTGGCCCACAGCTCCCAGTACAGCTGCAGCGGGGCGCTGCTCTCATGCGGGCCGGAGGGGGAGGCCACCTCACAGGAGTAGGTGAGCAGGTCTGGGCTGGACTTGAGTGTGACGTTGAGGGTGAAGGAGGCTGGCTGCTGGGTCTGCACCACCTTCTTGGCCACCTGGATCCCTTGGCTGGCGAAGAGGAAGTAGGTGACCGGAGGAGGGGCCTGGGGTGCATGGCATGTCAGGAGAACACGGCGACTTTGGGGGTAAACCTCCAGGACTTTGTAGGCAATGGAGATTTCTAGGGGGGTGAAGCAGATGGAACAGGAAGAAAGAAACCAAGATTAATCAAACACCTCAAGAAAATGCTGGCTTAGCAGTTCCTCAAAGTGAAATGAAGAATTAGCACCCGACTCAGCAACTCCACAACTAGACATACAGCAAGAAGATGGGCTCTACAGACACAAGTAAGCACATGTCCACATGGTGCAATGCACCAGAACTGAGTTGGAGGCAGCCTGAACACTCATCAGCAGCTGAATAGGTAAACAGCATGTGGAAGCCAGGTATGGTGGTGGCTTGCGCCTGTAATCCCAGCACTCTGGGAGGCTGAGGCAGTAGGATTGCAAATTGGAGCCTAGCCTAGTCATTTAGCAAGACCCTGTCTCAAAATAAAAAATAAAAAGGCTGGGGATGTAGCTCAGTGCGAAGGCCCTGGGTTCAATTCCCAGTACCGCAACCAAACCAAACCAAACCCAACAGAACACTGTCTCCTGTGTTCAGGTCTTTTCTGCCTGGAATATTCCAATAGAAGAGACCATGAGAGCTGGATGTGATGGCACAGGCCTGCAATCTAAGAACTCTAGGAAGCTGAGGCAGGAGGATTGCCAAGTTAGAGCCCAGCTTGGCAACCTAGTACTTAGCAAGACCCTGACTCAAAATTAAAAGAGAGTAGGGTGTGAGGTGCAGCTCAGTGGGAAAGTCCTAGGCTTGATTGCCAGGACTAAAAAAACCCAGAATTCTCTGAGATGTGAGCAGCTACGCAGGACACAGGCGAGGAGGGGTGGGACCCTGGTCTGCCTTCTGGACCCCCAACCTTGCCCACTCCCAGCTGCAAGGGGACAGGCGTGTGCCATGCCCTACATTGCTGTGCCTCAGCTGAGAGGTATACGGCTTGTTGGCTGAATAACTCACTGAAATCAAAAGGCAGTGGCCCGCTCAGTGCCCTCTCTGGCTCTAGGACCTCCCTAGGGGATGTAGATGCTCCCTGGATGCTGTGGTCCAGGTGCTCCCAGCAGACACCTGAGCTGACAGTAATTTTGCCGGGTTGGGTCACATCTGTGTGGACAGACAGGGACCCAGTGGAGCAGCTTCCATTCAGACTCGCCTGTCCATTCGGAGTCTGGGCCGTGGCCTCCCTCCAAGCTCAGAGGCCCCCGTCCTGCCAGCCCCACCGCGGGACTGGGGACTCAGGGGTGACAGCGGGGCCCTGCACCCAGAGCAGTGAACACCTGGCTTTAGGGGATGGTGAGAGGGCAAGGGCAGGGGGCCTGACCTGTATCCTTGAGAGGCACTTCAGGGGAGGGTCAAAGCCCAGAGGGGTGGCCTGAGCCAAGAGGAAGAGGCAACTTCAAGGAAGCACACATGGTTGTTGGCTTTTTCAGGTACCAGGGATCAAACTCGGGACCTTGTGCTTGCCAGGTGGGTGCAGAGCCACTGAGCTACATCCCCAGCCCCCTAGCAGGGGTTTTGAAGAGTAGTGAGATGGCTGCAGGGGGCTGGCATGCTCAGGGCACCCCAAGCTCCCTCCCACCCAGACTGGGAGGCCTGTCCCAGCCAGGGATCTGCTCACAAGCGATTTTACTGTTTTGTAGGCCGCCCCTGGTATTGACCTCGACACAGAAACATCCTACTGTCCTCCTATTGGGCCTCACACTGCCCTTGCTGACTCCCCCCAGGACACAAGTCAGGACTAAGCAAAGTCACCTTCTGAACAGGAGGTGGGAACAGAGGGTGTGTTACCAGTGGGCATCTGTGTACTTTTCAAGAATAGTGCGGCCGGGCATGATAGTAAACCCATATAATCCCAGCACTCTGGGAGGCTGAAGCAGGAAGATTGCAAGTTTGAGCCCAGTCTGGGCAGTTTAGGGACTAGGCAAGACCCTGTCTCAAAATAAAATATAGCTGGGCATAGTAGCACACACCTGTAATCCCAGCACTCAGGAGGCTGAGGCAGGAGGATCCCAGTTGGAGAGTCCCCCTCCTGAGGGCCAAAGATGGTCTGGGGCCAGGGGCTGCTCCCATGGGGGATGTGGGGGTTGGGCCGCAGTGTGGTTACACTTGTCATTTTGCTCCCTTCACAGAGGGAGAGAGAAAACCCCTTCCTTTCCCTTTCAGCGACTGAGTAGAAACTTGATTTGCCTACGTGTACAGACTGGAGCCTTTATAAGGTACAGTTTGCACAGCACAAGGGGATTCACTTTTTTTTTTGCGGAGGGGGGGGGGATTCACTTTTTATCCTAAAAAGATTTGTATCTTTTTTCCTTTTGATTCTTTAGCTTATGGATTTAACCTGAGAGAAGTGGCCAGGTGTGGTGGCGCAGGCCTGTCATCCCAGCACTCAAGAGGCTAAGGCAGGAAGATCGCTGTGAGTTCGAGGCCAGCCTGGGCTACAGAGCAAGACCCTGTCTCAGAAAACCAAAATTTAAAATAACAATAATAGGGCCGGGGATTTAGCTCAGTGGTTCCGGTGCCTGCCTCAACAGCGCAAGGTCACAAGTTCAATCTCTGGTACCAAAAAAAGAAAGAAAGAAAATAATAATAATAATAATAAACTGAAGATAGTGATACATGCCTGTAACACCAGCTACTAGGGAGGCTGAACCAGGAGGAGTGCAAGTTCAAGCCAGCCTGTGCAACTGAGACCCTGTCTCAAAAAATGAAGAAAGAGAAGGATGTAGCTGAGTGCTAGAGTGCTTGCGCAAGGCCTTAGTTTTGGTTTTGATCCTCAACACTGCAAAAAAAAAAAAAAAAACAAACCAGCAAAAGGAAGCAGGAAGCAGCTGAGGGTCTACACCCAGGCCCCAGGCTGTGTATGAGTCCAGCCTGGCTCAGAGGCCCCAGAATTGCCTGCCCTCTGCCAACTTTTCTCTGGGATAACCAGGAGCTGGAAATTCCAGTCCTGGAGACTTCGGTTCCTTGGACCAATGTGAGGCCCAGGGGCATGAGTTTGAGCAAGCAGTGTACCTGTGTGGGGTGAATGTGTTCTCCAAAGAGATTGTGGTCAGTGTGTCCCCAGCCCTTCTGCGTGGGGCTTATTAGGACAGAGAACAGAGTGTCTACAGATGCCCCCAAGTTTGGTGATCTACTTGTAAGGCGCACTGGGTTAGGGAGGGGCCTCACAACAGGCCCGGAGATGCAGACCGGTGAGGACTTGCAGGTGATGGCCAGGAGAGCACGGGGAGAGCTTCTTGCTCAGCCTCCACAGGGAAAAAGCCTGCAGACACCTTGATTTTGGACTTCTGGCCTCCAGGACTTAGCAAGATCTGTCTCAAAATGAAACAATGCTGGGGATGTAGCTCAGTGCAAAGGCTCTGGGTTCATTTCCCAGGACCGTTAGAATGAAAACAAAAAGCACCCACACAGAGACCATTTCTCCTCTGTCCTGGCTCCTCCACTCATCACCATCCCAGACCCCGTGCCCATCCTCCCATCCCCGGCCGCAGAGTCCCAGCTGCAGGGTGCCACCTGGCAGGCTGTTACTTAGCCCACCCTCCCAGTAGGCCCGGCCAACAGCTAAGTCTCCTTGATGGCTGTACTTCGGCCCCATCCCATCCCCGAAATACTGTCAGCTTCTCCTCGTCACAAGTGAACACTGACATGCTGCAGAAGGCGCTTACTTTTTACTCCTCTGCCCCTAGCCCCACTAGAACCAGGGCTTCATCTCTTCATCCCCAGGGCTGCAACAGTGCCTGTCACCAAACAGGAGCTCAAGTGCATTTGGAATGAATGAACGCATCATTGATCAGCTGGTCTCTTAGGCATTTAGTTAGCAGAACTTGCTCGGCACAAACCTGAGACGTCAGGGGCTGAGCTGACAGGGAGGCAGGACTGACCCTCCCAGGTACTTTCCTGAGACTCAGCCACCTGCTCCTTTTTTAGCTGCAACACCGACAATGGGCTTGTTTTTATGGCAAATGAGGAAATGATAGTTCAGTTTCTGCTCCATTCAAGTGGGACGTGTGTCACCACTACCTGCCACCCACCCTTAAGCAGAACTGAGGGGGATGTTCAGCTCTGTGTCCCCGTGGCCCGGCGATGCCAGGTAGGGACAGGACAGAGAGGTGAGCGACTGCGTTCACTTCAGCAGACACAGGGCTGAGGTGACAATGAGGGAGGAGCGGGGGGGGGGGCAGAGAGTTGGAGCTCAGAGGAGGCAGCAGGGCAGCCATGGGTGGGGGTGGGACCCTCCCCTCCCGGGTGGGACCGTCCCCTCCCTGGGGTCGCCTCCTCCCTGGCTCTGAACCAACCTGTGTGAATTGTGGGGAGAGAGACCTGATGCCTCCCATGCCGGACCAAGGGAGATCTCGACTGCCTCATGCCCTCCTCCTGAGCCAAGGTGCCACCCAAATCCCCCAGCCTCTCTGGTTGCACCACCTGGCAGATGCGTGAGGCACCTGGAGGAGAAGCTGCTCCAGATGAGGACCTGAGGTACAGTGATGGGGCACCCCTGCCCCAGACACCCCCACACTCCAGCCGCCCACCCTAAGCAGGACCGTCCCTGCCCTGTGTCCCAGGGACTCGCCCCGTCCCAGTGCCTGCTCTTCCTTTTCCACACCCCCAGGGTCCTGCCAGGGTCCAGGATTGTCCAGCTGCCCCTAGCACCTCTCCTCACCCCTGCCACCTCCTCCCAGCCAAGGCATCCACCCCAGGTAGAGGTCCTGCTGCGGGGTCCCCAGCGGGCTGCCTTCGACCCTTCAGGATGTGGGGCCACTCACCTTCTGCCTGGCCCTTGGAAGAGCTGCTGGCGGCTGGAAGAGAGGTGGGTGTCAGGGGAGGCTGCCCAGAGCCTCCTGCAAGGGCAGGAGGAAGGAGCAGCAGGCTGCTCCCGGTCATGAGGCCCCAGGACTCCATCAGCATGCTCACTCATGGAGCTCTTTTTTTTTTTTGGTACCGGGGATCGAACTCGGGTCCTTGCACTTGCGCAGCAGGTGGCAAAACCACTGAGCTAAATCCCCGGCCCAACACAGAGCCCTTTTGAGCCCCGTGACATTCAGGATCGTCAGCCCATTTTGCCAGTGTGTGAGTAGGAGGCCAGAGTGACCAAAGAGGAACAGCCACAGAGGCAGGAAGATGGAAGCCCACACCCAGGGCCACCTCTCCTCCGCTCCCTAGCACCCCAGCCCGTAAGCAGTGGACCTCCCAACAGTGTCCCCCTTGGGCTCACCCAGTGTGGCCAAGCAGAGCAACTGAGGGAGCCTCATGCCTCTGCGGGTGTGGGCTGTGTGAGGCCTCTGCTCAGCTTTCATGGCTTCCTAAGTCTGGGTCCCCACCCTGGGGCCCCTGGGTGCTCCTGGTGGCTGCCTGGAGCGAGGAGATAAACCAGAGGCCACAGTTCCCAGGGCTGGGCCCAGAGAACCCCACAGCCAACGGCCCCAGGCCCCCCAGGGGAGCAGAAGGGAGGAGTCCGGGCCTGGGAGCACGCCAGGCCTGACCAAGCTCAGCCAGCACGCTGAGCATGGCCCAGGGCTCTCCTGGCAGGTGACGTCCACACCCTCACCCCTGACCCTGCCGGTGGGTTATGTCAGTGGGAAGGGTGAGCCCAGGTTGTGCCTGCTGAGCCCTAGAGGGGGCGATGACCCGGATTATCTGGGTGGGCCTAATGTGATCAGCAGGGGCCTGACCAGGTGGCTCCAGAGAGCTGTGGGCTGCACCCTGAAAAGCAGGGAGGAAGGGCAGTGGCTGTCCACATCTCCCTGGTTTGTATCTGACCTGGGCCCCTGGTCACCCCAGGAGTGTAATGCAGTGTCCCTGAGTCACTCAGAGTGGCAGGGTCCTTCCTCGGGCCCCAGGATAGGGATGATCGTTCCCGAGGCCCAGACCCAGTGCCACTCTGGACAAAGAGGAGACAGAGCTGCATCACCAGTGGTTCTGCAGCTGAGCTACCTGGAGAGACGGAGACCACCAAGGGAGCAGGTCCTGCCTTCTACACAGTGGGCACTGCCACCCTTCTGCCTGCGGGCCGGGCTCCTCATTCATGGCCTGGGCTGGGACTGCCAGACCCACCAGGGGCTTTCTGGGCAGGTTTGGTGACTGTGCGGGAATCACCAGCTTTGACTGCTTCCTCCTGGATGATGGTCCCTGAGCCAGGCAACCATTTGTTTCCAGGAAAGCCCGACCAAGGAACCTGCTCCCTGCCCCCAGCATGGCCCATCAGCCCAGGGATGGATGCTTGACCCAACCAAGGCCAGTTCTAGCCCTGTCTCCTGGCCTGGCAGCATCAGGGCGTTGCTTGCAGGGCGGCCCCTGCTGGCCAGTGAATAGCAGGAAGAGCTGATGCAGGAGACAGGAAGTGGCCTGCTGTGGGCTGCTGTTGGTGGCTCCCTTTCTCCACAGCAAGCTTGCTGGAGTCAGTGCTGTCACTTGCCGCTAGCTTGAGGTCCTGACGTGAGCCTGGGGGATGGCGCCTGTGTCCTCCCCCGGGGCCCTGGCCCCAACATACGTGTAGCATTTTCTCTTAGTTCCCAGCATAATTCCCTTCCAAAAGCCTGACCTTGAGTCTGCTGGGAGTGGAGGGGCGGAAGGAAGGACTGAAGGGAGACCCAGAGGGGCCTCAGGATGTGGGCGGTCTGGTGTCCAGAGGCCCAGGAGCTGGTGTTTCCCCATCTGGGCATTTCTGGGGAGACTCCTCTTCTCAGCCTGTCTGGGGGCCAGAGTCAGAGGAGAGTCCTGGTAACTCCAGGCCACCTTCCCTGGGCCTTGGGGAAGTGAGGCACCTTCCTGCCCTACCACGGTCCCTGTCCAGGCGTACTGCTCAGCAGTCCTCTGGCTGCACCTCTGCCCGGTCAGCAGGGAGGGCAGGGCTGGTGAGGGTGCTCCGGCGGTGACTCCTGAGGTTACCCACTGGTTTCCTCCAGTGGAGTCTGGATGTCCCCAAAACTCCCCAGGCCCCCACTACCTATTATGTTCTGTGATTTTTGCCCATAGTGGGCCAATCTCCTGTACAAAGGCCCTATGGGTGTGCCTGTGTTTCCTCATGTTCTGTCCCCGGAAGGGCCCCTTGCCCAGACCTGGGGAGGCCACAGAGAGGTCCCTTAGAGCTGCGCATGGAAGAGTGACCCTGTGGTAAGGGGAGCCTCGAGTGGACCCCCAGGCACTCAGGCATTGGAATTTTATAATCACCCACTGGATCCTCTCAGCCTCTCAGAGGAGCACGGCTTCTTCCCCCACCTAGGACGAGCACCCCAAGGCCCAGCACTTGGCGATCTCCTCAGTCTCTAAGCCCATCTTCTTCATGGTTCCTACAGAGCACATGGGCACGCATGAGGCTGGCTCTCAAAGTGTTTGCTGAAGGGATGTGAGTGTGATAAAAGGGCCTAGGCTGGGGATTTGGCTCAGTGGTTTCGCCGCCTGCTGTGCAAGGGCAAGGACCCGAGTTCGATCCCCAGCACCAAAAAGAAAAAAGAAAAAGGGCCTAGATAGCGGGCCCACACCTGTAATCCCAGCTACTTGGGAGCCTGAGGCAGGGGGATCAGAAGCTGGAGCCCAGCCCGGGCAAATTAGCAAAGAAGGGAGAACGTGTCTCAAAGAGTTAAAAGGGCTAGGAGTGGTGGTGCATGCATGGCTGTAATCACAGCACTTGGAAGGCTAAGGCAGGAGGATCGTTGTGGGTTCAAGGCCAGCCTGAACTACATAGTGAGACCCTGTCTCAAAAATAAATAAATAAAAATAGAAAATAAAAAAGGGCTGGGGTGTAGCTCACATGGGAGGCCATGCATGAGACACTGTCTCAAAAATAAATACATGCGGGCCAGGGATTTAGCTCAGTGGTTTCGCCGCCTGTTGTGCAAGTGCAAGGACCCGAGTTTGATCCCCGGTACCAAAAAAAAAAAAATTAAATACATACATACATAAAAATAGATAAAAAATACAGAATAAAAAGGCTGGGGTGTGGCTCACATGGGAGGCATCAATTGCTGGACCCCACCTGGAGAGTGCCGATGATCCCTTCCCAGACTACACACAGAGCTCCTGCTTCTGGAGTGGCCTCACTGCCACCCCAGGAACAGGACCTGGCATTTAGCAGCACTCACTCCACATGGGTGACAGTGGTGGTCATACAATACCAGCCAGTGAGATTAGGTCAGTGGAGAGGGGCTGGACTGGCCAAGGCTTTATGATCAGATGGGAAGCCCCAGCCCTGAGGGCAGCAGGCAGAGCCACTGTGATGACATCTGCCAGATGGGAATCAGCCAGGCGCTGGTCCCCTGGGGTAGCAGGAGGCTCTTCAAGCAAGTCCTGGGATTTCTTCTGACCTTCCCTCCCCATAGCCCTAAATGCCAGCTCCCTTTGAGAGTCGCCAGGGCACTTTAAAAAGTCTGGACACCCTGGCTGCTGGCTGCCTCCTATTCAGTCACACCAGGTGCTGGAGGAGTCAGCTTCCGAGGCCAGTGCAGCATGAGGTGGGGGCAGCAGGCTCAGCAAAGGATCGCTGAACAGCTCTGAAATCTGGGGTGCAGCCTTGGGCCACATCCTAGGCCTGAGGGCCATGCTACCTGGTGAGACCCACACTCCATGTGTCTGTCACAGTGTAACCCTACTGATGCTGCTAGGACCCTGGCAGACCCTCACCCCACAGAGGCTTGCGGTTGGCTTAGTGAGCAGCGTGGGAGGACAGGTTCTGCAGAAGACAAGGCATGAACCCACGTTCCATTCCCTACAGCACTTTTGCTGGCTACAGCAGGGACAGAGTGCGACAACACCCTCCCATTCACCCGGACTTGGACTTCAGGGAGTCCTCGTGCTTAGGGTCAGGAATGGCTGCTGAGCCTCTTCTGAGTCAGTGTGGCTTTGCCCTTCTGCCCTGGGTTCAAGTCCCAGCTCTGCCCTTGCTGGCTGTGGTCCTGACCTCTGCGAGCTTCCTGTCCACACTGGGAAGGGCTGAGCAGGTGGGCTGCAGTGGGGTGTGCATAGGGCAGCTCTCATGCAGGGTCGGCCAGCTCCCCTCTCCCCACTCTCCGCAAGGGAGAGGGCTCCAAGCTTTGTGAGTGCGCCCTCCCGTTAGCAACTTCCCAGCACCTCAAAAAGATGCAGTATTTGTGAACTGTGTTTATGGGTCGGTCACTATAATTATATATTTTGTGCAGTATAAAATATTTAGTAAAAAAATAGAAATTTTAAAGGAATGAGATTAAAAAAAAAGAAATTCCCATATGGTCTTCCTGCTGCCCCTGGGGATGTGTGTCCCTCTTTGGGGGGCCCTGTTGGTGTGGAGGGGGGCGTCTCTAGAGGCCAGGGTGGGAAAGTGGGTGCTGCAGGTCCACTCGTGGGGGACGCCGAATCGGTGCTACAGCCAGCGACAGCTACAGCTCCGTGCCCGTGCCGTGGGGAAAGCGGCATGGGGGGCGGGGCCGGGGCACCGCGCTATCCGGGGTAGGAGGAGCCTAATCAGGGACGGTCCGTGTGGAAGGGTCCCGGCCTGGGGCCCGGGGAACCTGGGCTCGGGAATCCGGGGCCAAAGGACCTTGGGCGCGAAGCTCGGAAGTGAGGGGAGTCGGGGATCGGAGATTCGCTCGAGCCTGGCTCTGGCAGCAGCCGCGACAGCTCCTCCACCAGGTGCCACTTCTCCTGGACCTGCTGTGGGGAGCAAGCAGCGGATTACTAGCGAGTCTAGCGGAGGGAGTCACTGGGAGACTTCGGATTGGGCAGCCCAGGCCACGCCCACCAGGGCCGGAGCCACGCCCCAACAAGACCCGCCCCCAACGCAACCTGAGGTCACGGCGGGTCACGCGCGGGCCCCCCCCCCCCGCCCAGGGCCACGTTCTTATCAGGTCGCGCTCCAGAACACTGGCCGTGTCTGAGGACCTCTTTCCTTCCCTCCCCTTCCCCATCTGCACCGCAGCGGAGGCACCAGCCTATCTCAGGCCCCGCTCCCAAAAGATGGGTGTCCCCCAAGCCCAGCGTCCACTAACCCACACCAACTGCTTCCGGAGCACGTGGATGGCTCTCGCATTGGCCTGGGACTGGGAGACGCACACGGTCAGGACAAGGCTTGGGGCAGACACAGGATTCAACGTCAGTCACCCTACCTTCCACAGGTGCCACCCCCTGACTTCCTCCTCCCAACACCAGCCTCTTAAAACCAGGCGGTCCTGGGGTTTCTCCTTGCACAACTTTTACTGGGGCGAGGATGCACCTCCCCTTCGCAGGCCCCTGGGATCCCTCTATCCTGGTCCTCCAGCGAGGTGCCATGCTTCCCGGGTGGACAGGGAGTCCCCATGACATAAGGGTACTGGGCCACGCGGGCCTGCTTCACAGTGGAGGGCCCCAGGCTCCCTGACTTTGGGCCCCTACCTGGTGCCCGGGTCCTGCTCACCTGGGCTTCCCTGCATATCTTCTGGGCCCCGTGAGACGGGCTAGGGAAAAGGACACCCTCCTCGGCGTTCCCCTCCCACGGTCCCTGCCACCCCGATAGGCACCTGAGCAGGATGAGGAGGGGGAAGCTGAAGGCGTGGGAGCCGAGATAGTGGAGGACACGCTGGCCAGGGACTGGGAGCCGCAGAGCCACCAGCTCCTGCACCACCTGCCAGGGGGCTGAGTAGTTGGAGAAGAGACCACAGTCCCAGGAGGAGTGGGTGCTGGAGGAAGAGGGGAGACCTGGGTGTCGGGGGAGCAGGGTAGGGGCTTCCCACCAGCTTCACCCCAGCCCTCCTCCCTCACCTGCTGACCACATAGCCCAGGGGTGCCGCTGCCAGGAGCAGGCCCAGGAGCAGCACCAGCTGGAAGAAGAAGGTGGAGCTGGAGGCACGGAAGAGCCGAGGGGACGCCCTGCAGTTCCTCAAGAGGGTGTACTGGGGAGCAGGCAAGGAACAGCAGGTCCATGAGCGCAGTTCTCACACCCCACAAGGAGACAGAAGGCCTGCGTTCCCTCCCAGCTGGTGTCCTCACCTTCTTGATGTAGAAGGTGAGGAAGAGGAAGATGCTGTGGAACAGAGGCAGCAGGGGACAGTAGAAGAGGCCCATCCAGGTGACCGCCTGCCCCGCCACGATGTCCAGCACGTTCTTGGGCACCAGGAACTCCTCCCTGTCCAGCCAAGTCCAGAACCGGCCTGAGAACCGCTCCACCAGCAGCCTGGGGTGGGCAGGGTCCAGGTCAAGAAGGATGTCGGGCGGTGGACCGTCACACCACACGGGCAGACCTGGCGGTCCCCAAGCATGCCCCTGCCACCCCGTTCTCCCTATAGTGCCACCTCTTGCTTGGCTCACCTCCGAGGCAGGCTGACAAGAAAGGCAAAGGCCACCGTGAGAAGGAAGTTGAAGATGATCAGCTTGTACAGCTCCTCGCCCACTGAGTTTTCCCAGCACTGGGGTGCAGAGCGAGGGGCCCGGTCAACATCCTGCCCCCCACTTCCCGTCCCTTACCCACCCTGGGAGGATCTCGCAGCACAGGAGCTTGGCTTGACAAGGCTCCAGGGAAGTCAGAGCAGGAGCCACTCCCCAGGACTGCCACACTGCAGTGTGGTGCAGGAATGCCCCCTGGAGGTGCGCCATTGTATGGCGCTCTGCTCACAGCTGCTCACAAAGGTGAGACCTGGAAGGGCCCAAGGGGACCAAGGGCAGGGACAGGTCGCTGCGTGTTTGACACTGTAGGACTGACAGGACTCTGCGTGCTTTGCAGAGAAGGATGGGAGGGGCAGGCCCCAGCCAGGCCACCAGCCACCTGGTAGTCACAGGCGTTGTAGCCGTAGGCCTCGCAGCTGGTCTTGTTTCTGCCAATGCACAGCATCGTCTGACCCAGTGAGAAGGAGAACATCCCCAGGCTGGCCAGCTTCAGCACCACGCACCTGGGGCGGGGACAGGTACAAGGCCGCTGGGTCACAGGTGTGGTCACAGGTGTGGCTGCTATGTGGACAAGGCCAGGAGATTGCCTCTCCCTGGGCCCTGCCCCCTGTAGATCCAGAGCCCAGTCTCTTTACAGCCTGCTCCAGCCACAGCAGTGTTTCCCAAGTATTTCCCCAGAATCCAAGTCTCCAGGTGATTCCTGAGAAAGGGGTTCTGTTTTGAAATCAGTTTGGGAAACACTGTCTTGTCTGGGTATCCTCTGCCCAACTCAGTTTACAATTTACAGATGCCACGCTCCACAGGGGAGAAGAAACCCTGAATCTTTCAGATGAGACCTTCTTTTTCGTGTTCTTTCTCCTCGTGGTGCTTGGGGATGGAACCCAGGGCCTCGCACCTGCTGGGCAGGCTTCTACCACTGAGTTATAGCCCAGCCCTGTTCACTCCCTAGCTCACGGACAACACAGAGGCACAGGCCATGCATCCTCACCAAGTAACGTGCCAGAATCCCGTGTAGGTCTGCTGGCCTGAAACCATCACATGCACATTATCTGCGAGGGTGGACGCTTCTGTGCCCACTTGGGGCCTGGGAGGCAGGGTGGGTGGGAGCTTATTTTTTAACCTTTCATCCTTTTGAGAATTTTGAACTTTTTTTTTTAGCCACGTGAGCATTCATAACATATTCAAAAAGTAAAGTTTCAGACAGGTGTGGTGATGCACATCTGTAATCCCAGCACTCGGGGAAGCTGAGGCAGGAGGACTGCAGGTTTGAGCCGAGCCTGGGCAACTTAGCAACTTAGTGAAACCCTGTTTTAAAATAAAAAAGGCTGGAAATGTAGCTCAGTGTGAAGGCCCGAGTTCAATCCCAAAGAATGAAGGGAAAAAAAAAAAGCAGACTTTCCAAGGAAATCACAGTTGGAAGAGACAGGTAGGCAGGAAGCAGGTGAGGGTGGCAGGAGGAGAACGAAGCGTCTGGGGATTTGGGGGTGGGGGCAGTTTGCAGGGGAAAGTAGTTGGGGTAGAGCTAAGACCAAGTGCTGAGAAGGGCACTGGGGTGGAGGAGGACTTGGATTTGAACCTGCATCCTGAAAGCATCGTGAGATTGGCCTTGGCCGGGGCACTTCGCCCCTGGAGATGAGGATGGCCAGGTGCTTAGATCACATCACGGTAAAGGGCTACAGCCCACGCGTGTGACATGGGTTCCCAGACCCCGGCCACACAGCCCGTGCTCCTCTGTGCTGGCACGTGGGCCAGCCCGGCCCCCTTGTGGTGAGGACTGGGAAGCCCGCGTCCAGGAACGCCCACCCGCTTGGCCTGTGAACCTGGGGGCCCATCGGGAGCTCCCTGCGCCCACACGGCCCCCGGGGTGCTCACCAGATGAGGGTGAGGTTGACCTCGGTGCTGGGCGGGTAGTTCTCCAGCTGGACCAGGAACACGAACACCATAGGCCCCAGGAAGTTGACCAACGAGATGACCCCGGGGGGCAGGTACTGGAGCACCAAGAACAGCGGCTCCTGCGGGGAGCCAGGGTGAGGGGGCCCTGGCGCAGGCGCCGTCAGCTGCCCACCCCTTCGGCCCCTGGGGTGCAGTGAGGGCGGGGCTGGGATCCAGAAGCTCGAAGTTGGGGACGCGCTTGGGAAGAGCCGGGCTGACCCACGATCGCGAGCGCTTCGAGGACTAAGGGAACAACAGCCTGCACCTCCTTGTTGTCCTGCGAGTACTTGGTGGCCCAGAAGATGGCGCTGATGCCCCCGGCAACCAGGAGTCCCATGAGGACGTTGATGCGCAGGTAGCTGAGCAGGCGGCAGGCGCGCTGGGCGGGGGTCTCCCGCTGCGCCCCTCGGAGGCGGTGGCTCTCCTCCAGGTACCCCTGTGCCGGGTAGGGCGGAGTCCTGCGACACCGCTGCGCCCACACTCACACGCCTCTCACGCTCAGTCACGCTCACGTGTTCTCACACCCCACACTGGGGCACAATGTTTGCACGCTCACGATGTCACACACACGTTCTGACACACACGCACACATCCATACATAGTCACGATGCTTCCACACTCACAATTCACTTTCTTGGCACAATGCTCGCCCGTGCCCACGCACGGGCACACACTCAGTCATGCCCACTCTCACACGCACCTTGAACTCATTGCTGATCTCGTGCTTCTTGATGGTGGCGGCTTCCCGAACATGAATGCAGAAGTCCCAGGACGAGAAGACCTTGGCACTGAGAGGCACCCTGTAGGCCTGCCCCAGCCCTGGCCTCTGTGGCAAGCCCTTCACCATTCTGGGGGCAGACACGGTGCTGTATCTGCACCCTCCAGCCTGGCCGAGGCTTGGCTGGTCTGGCATGGGAGGACCCCAGGGGCCTCTCTCCCGGGATACGTGGCTGGGATGCCCGTGTTTGGTGAGCCTTACTGAACAGGGGCGGGGACCTGTCTGCGAACTTGGGGAGGCCTCTCCATGGACGGGGTGACCCGGGAAGATGGCCCGGGGACCGGCAAAGGCACAGGCTGAGCGCTCACCTCCGCAGCGTCCCACAGAAGCAGAGCATCAGGCAGGCCAGCGGGCAGAGGAGGTAGGCCAGCCGGATGCTGTAGGCGGAGCTGCTCTCCGGCCCCGCCCGGTAGGCGCCGTAGAAAAGATAAGTGTTGTTGAAGGCCTGGGAATCGCGAGGGGGGCATCTGGGCGTGGGCCAAGCATCAGGCTCCCTTCTAGTACTTGCTACATGTGAACTCCTCACCCTCCAGGTAGGTGAAAATATCCCCATTTTACAGAGGCAGAGAGTTTGGGCCACTCGGTCACCCAGCTTTGAGGAATCACAGGCAGGACTCAAACACGAGAGTCCGCACTTGATGGCTTCCTGGGACGAGATGCTTACCCAAGGCTCTCCCGTCCCCTACCCCCCGCCCCCCGACGGGACCCAAGTCCAGGGGCTGTGCTGTCCATGGTCGCCACCGTGTCCCACCAGCCTTCGGAAGTCCTGCGCCTAGAAGCCAAAACACCCCTGGAGGGTGGGATCCTCATGGAGGGGGCTCCGTGCCCCCCGGACCACTTACCCTGCCAGTTAAAACATTCCATAGCCGGTTGTGGAACCTGGGAACGTCAGTCTGGGGCTGGTGGCCCCTGGGGCACTGGAGGGCTGTTGAAGAAGGGTGGAACAGGGACAGGTTCCCAAGACATAAGTGGCCCCCTGGACTTTCCATTCTGCAGCCCAGCCGTGACACCCACGATGTGTGCCGTGCCTCAGGCAGGGTCAGGGAGGTCCAGGGCTGGGCACAAGCAACAGGGCCAGCTGGGGCCCAGAGAGTCAAGGCCACTCAGGACTCACTGAAGTTTGGGGCGGGACTTGGGCCCGGGGGGTGGAGCCAGGCCAGGGGTACCAGCACGAAGTTGGCGGTCAGCAGCACAGTCAGCAGGTTGAGCAGCAGCAGGAAGCGGAGGAAGGTAAAGTAGGAGCGGATGCCTGAGCCGAAAAGGCCTGTAAAGAAGGCCAGGGAGTGAGGGGAGCAGTCAGGGCCCGAGCTGGGACTCCCAGAGCCACCGGGTGTGGGTGCCCACCGGCCCCCATGCTCTGGCAGTGCCTCTGAGGGCCACCAGGGGGTGCTGTCACCCAACGAGGTTGGCACCAGACTCCTGGGACTCCGGATGTGCCAGGATGGAGGGGCTGGTCGGTGGGGGTGAGATGGTGCCCTCCTCCCTTTCCAAGCTGGGCAGCAGGACTCCAAAGAGGGGACATGGGAAGTCAGGGACCTACCCCCGATCTCGTACAGTGCCCCCTCCCAGAGCCCGAAGCCCCGGGCAAGCCGCCATGCTGCCTCCCTCAGGCGGTGTGCCATGGTCTGTTGCCTGCGTTGCCACTGCTGCCAGCACGTCATCTCCATGTCCTCAGGCTCCCGCATCTGCCTGGGTGGGGTGTGATGGGATGCCCCTGAGCCAGCCCCTGCCCACCCCGGGGCCAGGCGGATGGTGCGGTGGGCCTGGGAGTCTCCCCACTGCCCATGGTTCCCCACCTGCATCCCGCAGTGCAGTGTGTACTCCCAGGCGGCTGACCCCACCCCTGGCCTCGCCTGTGTTCCTGCTGGGCACCCACCGGATGAAGCGCTTGTCCACCATGGCATAGGGCAGCAAGCGCAGGGGTTCCTGGGAGGCACGCAGCCACTCCATCTCCCGCTCCCAGAGCTCCTCGGCCTCCGGCTGGGGTCCTGGGCCCCCTGGGGTCTGCCCCAACTGCATTGACCACTCGTGAAACATCCGGTGGTGGGGATGGGCCGGGGTTGGGGGCACAGGTTCAAGCCCTGCTCTCAGGAGGGACGAGGGACGTGGGGCGCCAGACGGGGAGCTGCAAGGTCTTGGTGCTGAAGTGCCCAGAAATGAAAAGAAAGAATCGTGCTGGAGTAGGGATCCAAGCTCAGTCAATGTTGAAGCCAGGCCAGGGCCTCAGTCTCTCATCTATCAAATGGGGTGAAGGCCTACAGGGTGTCGGGAGATGCAGCTGTCACAGGCACAGCCACCTGGGGCTGCAGGCTTTGGGGGTCACCCTTTTGAGGAACACAATTCCTGCTCTTCTCCATGTGCCCATTTGCTCTCTGGGAAGACAGACACCTAGCCCCAAACCTCAGCAGTTCCTGGGGCCCAGTATCCTACAGCACCCCAGTCTTGGAGGTGCTGCGGCCGCTTTCTGTCTTCCTTCTTGAGGCCCAGTGCCCCTGGCCCGCACCCACTTAGCTTCCCTCCTGGGACCCAGATGAGGAGGAGACCCCAATGCTGCTCTAGCAGCTGCTAAGAATTCCCTCACCTGCCCCTGCCCCCAACCCTCCCACTTCCTCTTCCTCTCCGCACTTCCTCCAGCTCACCTGGGGACAAGGAGCCCACGCTCCCGGAGCCCTCTGCTGGGGCCGGCCGCCGCCAAGCCAGACAAGACTGTGAGAGAGCTAGGCTGGGGTCACATGACAGGAACCCTGGCCTTCCCCGACGTTTCCTCTGTTCTGAGGCTGAGCGGCACTTCCTGCAGGCTGCGGGGCACCGGGGGCGCAGGTGAGAGGCGTAGGCCTGGTCGTCTGCAAGCCTTCTGCCAGCTGAGCTGGGGCCCACCTTCCCTCCCTCTGGTGTCCCACGGAGGACTGCAGTGTGGCTGCTCCTGACCCAGAGGCCTGGCCCTGGCGAGCCTTATCTTTCTTCAGCAGGTCACCCAGGAGAGTGCGATAGTGACACACAGCCCCTCATTGCACCAGTCGGCTGCTGGGTGTCCAAAGCCAGTTATTTCTGAACTTCCGGGCCTCTGTGGCTGTCACCCTCTTCCATCCCTCCTCGTGGCCCCATTGCCAGCACTCTGCAAGGGGCTCCATGCTTGACATTTAGGAGCCTTGCTGGACTGCTTGTCCTCGGATCCCCTGGGAGGCCTCGAAGCCCCCTGTCCCCCTCCTTTGGGGGTGGGTCATCCCAGCTCTGAGTTCTCCGGGACGTCGTCTGCCCCCCTTCACCACCCTCGTCATTTCCAGAGCCCCCTCTGTGCCAGGCCCAAACTTGATGCTGGTGCTGGGCACACAGTGGGGTGGGGGCCGGGGGACAGATTCACAGTGCAGGTGTCAGCAGAAGTGCCACATGCTCCAACGGAAGAGGTGGCTTTCAGGTTGGGCCTGGGCTAAGTCCAGTGTGGGTGTGCACAGAGGGGGACTGTGCCAGGGGACCGTGTGGTGGCAGGGGCTGGGCAGGGCTGGACCTTCAGGCCAAGGTACTTAGAAGCAGCCGAAGGCCTCCCACTTGAGGACCTACTGATGGCTGCAAAGAAGCCACCTCCTCTGGGCCCGTAGTTCATGGTCTCTGTGCCTCGTCCTGTCTCGGGTCTTGTTCTCTCCTCCAGGAGGGTCCTGGCCTCCCCTCCGGTGCCTGCCTCATGGCCCTCCCCCTCCTCAGGTCCTTGGTGCCACGGGAGTCTCAAAGTTGTGTCCTCAAAGAGCTGTTAGCACGCTCTGGCTGGTGGCACCCTGGAGGCCGAGGCACCTCCCGGCCGGCCTCGGTTTTGGCATCTGTGAACAGGACGGGCGCGTGTCTCCCGGCCGGTGGGGAGCCCTTGGGACCTTCACAAAGTCTCAGCCGCCCTCCTTGGCGCCCCTCCTCCCCACCAGCCACGCAGGAAGCCCTGCACTCCTGCCAGATAAACAGCACAGAGCGCACCTCGGAGCCCCACGGGAGGGGAGGTAACCGGCGGCGGGCGTGGGCCGGGTTGCCCAACCCGGGGCAGAAAGGCTCGCTGCCGGCGCCTCGCCGCCGCACCTTATTTGGCAGTCCCCACCTCAGGAAGTGGGTGGGTCCGGAGCTAGTGTCCCCTTTTGAAACTTGGGGAAACCGAGTCTCACAAACTCCCCCGGGGCTTCCACCTCCCAGAGCCGGCCACTCGGCCACCCTGGCTCTGCGCAGGCTTCGAGGCGGGACGCGAGGAGGCCGGCGGGCGGAGGGGCGGGGCCGGCACGGGTCACGTGACCTCGAGGCTGGCGCCGCCTGGGCGGGCGGAGCAGCGCCCCGGCCCTTCCTCGACCCCGCCACCCCTCCCTCGGGTGGCAGCCCCGACGGCGGCTCCCGGCGGCCCTCGCGGGGACAGGTGAGCGGCGCCCGCCCCTCCTCCGACGCCTCCCAGGTGAGCAGCCGGGCCCTGCGGGGCTTGCTACCAGCGTCTTCTCCGGGCCTCTCGGCGCCCGAGTTCCCTCCGAGGTTTGCCGCGGAGGACTGGCCTTGGGCCCGGGAGTGGGGTCTGGCCCGAAGGTCCAGGTGGGACCCTGGCATGAGGCTGGGTGGGGCCTTTCCCGGGTAGCAGCGCTGCGGGCTGGGGCGCCGGCCCCTACCCACGCTCAGGAATGCTGCACCTCGGAAAGTCCGACACCCCGGAAACTCCGGGGATCCGGAAACTCGCCACCCTGGCCCGGCCTGGGGCGGGCAGGAGCTGTGGTTCGTGCCCGCTGAGCCGCAGATCCCAGCCTTCAGTCTCCGGGCACATCCCACGCCCAGGCGCAGGAGGCCTGGGGATGGGGGTGCCCAGCTGTAGGGATCGATGCGATCCCCTCAGCCTCACGTGGCCGCTTCCCAAGCCAGCTCCTGGCTGGCTCGCCCCTCCCCAGGGCCGGGGCTTGGATCGTGCCTCCTGGACGCCCAGCGGAGCCCTGTGCGGGCACTGAGTCCTTTCCAGGGAACTCCCCAGAAAGGAGCCACTGTGCTGATTTTGAGTCCCCCTGGGGCGAGGGCAGGGCCGATGAAGGACCCGCCGGCTTGGGAGCTGTTCTGGCAGAGTTGTGCCTCAGTGTGGTGGGGGCAGCTGGTGTCCACACCCCACTCGCAGGGGGAGACCGGAGGCGGAGCTCCAGACAAAGCCCTGTGGTTCCAGTGTTGCCTTCTGACCCAGAGCCGGGACAGAGGGCCACTGTTTAGGCCCAGCCCCCTCCCCAGGGGCCGCCCTGCTGTTTTGGACTGTGGGGCGACAGCCTCGAGGGAGTAAAGACCTTGGTGTCCTGTGGGAGGGGAGCCTTTCTTTCTGCCTGATACTTCCGCAGGCTGGAGGCAGGGCTCGTGTGAAAGCGCGCGCTTTGGCGGGGG